GCCGTTGTGGCCTTCTCGGCATCCTCGCCAGGGCTTGGGGACGCCGGCCTGGGGAAGGCGGAGGCGCCCAGGGTGAGCCTGGCGGGCTTCGCCCCAGAAGGCGACGCGGCCAGCGCCCTTCGGGGCCGCTGGACCTGGGCCGCGGGGGAGGGGGAGGGGCGAACCTGGAAAAGAACCTTCCCTTCAGGGACGTTTGTCCCGTCTTTGCTGCCCCGGAACCCCCTTCTCTGCTCTGGTGAAAATCCCCCCTTGGCCAAAAACCAAACCCATTGCGAGTCGAGTCGATTCCAACTCAACAGCGACCCTATAGGTCAGAGTAGAACTGCCCCACAGGCTTTCCAAGGCTGCAGTCAACATGAGTAGATCGCCAGGTCTTTCTCCCGCAGAGCAGCTGGAGGATTGAAAGCGCCCACCTTTTGGTAGGCAGCCGAGTGCTTAACCAGTGGGCCACCAGGGCTCCTTGAGTCTTGTCATAGCTGTTAGTAGCCACACTGAACCCTGCCATTATCGTAATGCATGGTCTGCAGCTGTCCCCGTCCTTCCAGGGACGTGGCAGCCAGAACAAGACTAGTCCTCGCTCGTTTTATTATTTATTTTGCAATGTGGTGCACCGTTAACTCCCCAAACAGGGGAGGGTTGTAAGCTTTGATGGTTTAAAACAGCCTCCCGTGCCAAGGTCGGAGGCAGGCCTTGAGCCCAGAGATGTTTTATTCAGGAGCCTTTTAAAAATAATCTAGACAGAACCTCGGGGAGGGATTCTGGCAGTATCTTATTTATGAAAAAAACAGGCAACTCCCCAGGCACCGAGCCCAGTCCTTCCTGTTTGTCAGTGCTTTTTTTTTTTTTTTTTTCTTTTGCATCGAGCATCTCATTGCACAATCCCAGAATTGAAGCATCTACTTGAGGATAAGCCGAACTAACCTCTGCCCTTGAGGCTTGTGTATGCATTAAAATGGCTAACGAACGCTTTTATAAACCACTGTGCAAATTTTGTTGCAGGGCACATCGGAGTCAGACCTTCAAGTACTGTGTTTGTGCCAAATCATTACCGCTTGCCACATGAATCTAAATCATGACGGATGCCAAGTATGTCCTCTGCAGATGGAAAAAGCGATTATGGCCCGCAAAGGTGACAGCCATTATTCTGTAATTTCAGGAATTAGAAATGACTTTTGGGTGACATGTAAAATCTTTATCGGGCGATACCTAGGAATTGCCTCACTGAACTGAATGGTTGGCGCCTGGATCTGTTGGCACTGGTTCTCATTCCCCATTTAATGGGGTTTTGGTCTGGTGCTTACAAGGTTACTCTTCCGGAAGTGCCTTTTTTTTTTCACACTTAAAAAAAAAAATGAACAGAGTCAGCTCTAAAAAGACATTTAAGGCTGGAACTCAAGGAAATCGCTGGCAGGGAGCCCTGTGATAGTAAATGATTGTAGTATGGCGGGGAGGCTCTCCAGCAGGGTAGGAAAAAGAGGTCTGAGCGAACCAGAAATCTTGGGTCCTTGTCATGACCTGCCACTGTCCTTGTCCTTCAGGTTGTCCCATCTAGGAAATCAGTGGGATTGAACCAAGAACCTCTGAAATCCTGTGCTTGTAGACTGTAAGAATTACCTATGCTATGTTTGTCACCTATTTGTTTTAATATAACAAGGATTTCTTTCCTGGTTTGTTTTTTAATGTAGGTTTTGTCCCGAACAGAGACTTCAACAAAAAATAAGAGGATAAAAGAACTTTTTCTTGATGTTCAAATACTCTCCCTAAATGAAAAGTTAAGTGTTATTACGTGTTAAATGTTTCGGTGTTTTTTAATATATATAAATTGTTTTCTCTTATGGGAATTCTGATATACCAAAAAAGGAAGGAAGTCACATGTATTATCACCTCCTTGAGTAGCAGTGTTATTAACGCATTAGGAGGAAAACAGCCATTTTTACTTTGTCAGTTTGGAAATTGAAAATCTGTATGAGGCATTCTGTCAGAGCTACAGCGAGAGCACTATAGACGTTGAATAAGTATTAATTATTACCTGAGGTCAACTCTTCAGGTTAAAATAGGGGTGTTTCCTTCCAACAGATTTGTGGGTTTTTTTTTTTTTACGGAAACCTGTATGATAGACCGTCAGTTTTGAACTACTTGACTTTTGACGGTTACTCAGCACGGGCCTCTTACTCAGTGTTCAGAAAGCAGAGGTCCGCTCTTTCCTGTCCTGCTTTTGGGGATCCAGCCTCTGACAGCCCCCAACCATGCTCACTGATGATCGAAGCACTCGCATCATGTGTGATTGGGATACTGGCCTGAGAAGAGAAGTCCCAACTCTAACTGGTCTGACAGACTGGTGCGTCCACCGAGACGATGGCTTTCCATCCCCTTTAGGCTTGGAACTGAGCTCACACTTGGGGCTCAAGTTTTCAGCCAAAGGCTACACAAGACTACAAGAGGAGCAGGAAGGCTGTGGAGGTGTGGGCTCCCTAGAACAAGCAGCCATATGCATTTCAGAAGAGCAGCATTTACCCAGGGATGAAGCTCAGGAGGCAGGAAGGGCCAGGAAAGAGGGAGGAAGGGGAACGGGAACCCAGGGTGGGAGTGGGAAGAGGGCTGTTACGGGGTGGGGACTGTGATCATCGTCACAAATCGAAATGAGTGTGAATTATTGAATGGGAAACCAGTTTACTCCGTCACCTTTCACCCAAGCTGCAATCAAAAGTTACTGGGGAAAAAAAAAGAATTCCCATCTCCAAACGGTGCAAAACCCCATGTAGCCGTTGTTGCGTGTTCTTGAGGTGCTTGCCTCTGCCAGCTCCTTTCTCAGAGCTGGATCTTCAGAGCTCCCTCCTAAGCTTGCTTGGTCCCCAGCTCACACTTTCCCTGCGGCTGGGAAGGTAATTGAATACTTGAGTTTAAAAGGAAAGCTCATCCTTTTAAACTAAGACACACCTGCTGGGCTGTAAACAGCTTTTAGTGACATTATCATCGACTCTGAGAATCTAACAAAGGACATATTTGTGCAGTTGAAAGCAGGATTTGCCTCATAAAAGTCACAATTTGAATTCATTTTTACTCTTAAATCCAGCCAACCTTCTTTTGTCTTAAAAGGAGAAAGAGAAAAAACACAAAACCACATTCACCAGGGTCCTTGCTGCCTCTAACCCCAGGCATCTGAATTCCTAGTTGGCTGTGACTTTTGGTTTGAATGGAAGGTTGAGAAGGAGGAAAATGAATTTAATTGTTTTGCATCTAAAGAAAAACCCGTTTGAAAATGTCTTGGTGGCATTGGCTGGTGGCGGCTAACCGCTGTTTATCTCTGCAGAATTAAGGTGAAAAGTGCAGAAGTCAGGATCCTAAAGAAGTCTGAAATTGAGGACATCGCTGCCTCCTTAGGTAAGAGCGGCGTTCTAAGGCCTGCTGGGTTTGAGACACCTTGGGAGACTTGAAAGACTCAGATCGCTAGGTACAAATTAACTCCATTCAGCTCTTTTTTTTTTTCCCCCTTCATACCAGGGAATGTGAATTCCCTGAGCTGAAGAAGGAAAAGTAGACCACTTAACTTCTTCCAGAATTGGCCCCAAGAGCCGATCCTATTCACGGTACTCTGCGAGGCCACTGGGAGCATCAGGTTTACGTCCGTGGCCTCCAGTGTGGACAGGGCACACTGTTTGCCCCCATGAAGAGGGGGGATATGTCTTCTCCTTTTTCCTTAGCTCCTAATAAGGCTGTGAATGGCCTGAAAAGCAGTTGGTTTTGAGTTTAAACCAGGAGAGGAAGGAGGAGTGGAGCCCTGGGGCCCCTGGCCTTGGTGGTTGACCACGGTGTGCAGGTGGGGTGGGCAGGTCCGCCGCCTCCCCTCTCCTGGAGCATTCTCTTCACCCCCTGCCCCCTTCACAGTTTAGAGGTGAGGTTTGCATGAGCCCAGCCAAACCAGAGACCTGTTGTGCACGCGCGTGCACATATGTACAACCAGCAGACACCAGCAACTACTCCCTTACCTACTTGGAATTAGCGAACCTAAACATTTTTTTTTTAAATTGTTTTTTTCGTTCAAAGTAAGGGTATTTATTCCCTCTGCAAAGGCGAGTGTTCTGTGAACATCCTACGGTTTCTGAAAGAAGACCTATTTTCCTACCGCTTCAGAAACGCAACTATTGTTTCGAGCAGCATCTAGCCCCATAAGCCTTAGGTGGTGTTTCCCACCAGCTCCTGAGTGCGGTTCCCATTGTCAGTTCAGATTGTGTCGGGCAGTCATTTGTGGACGCCTTTAATGTTAACGCGGCTGGGGGATGCTGTCTCAGGGGCGGCATTGTGCCTGCTGAGTGGCCATAGTGCACCCATCATGCTGTTCAATCGGCAGCGCCCCATCGTTGTGTCGGGATGAATAAAGAGCCATTGCAGCGGGGAGGGCACGCCGGACTCTGAAGGGTGGTGACGCTTGTTTCTGGCGTTGAAAGGCCCTCGCAAAGAAGTACTGAAAATTGACCAGCCCACAATGAGGCTTTTTAATCAGCGGTTCCTTGCCCCCTCCCCAGGCAAGCGAGCATGGCCAGTGGGGCTCTTTATTTAGTGGGCATTGGGTTTTATTGACCCTGATGGAATCTGAAATTGTAAGCCCAAGAGAGGATTTGCAAAACATTTGAATACATTTGGCGCTGGGTATTGTTTTGTAGCTTGGAGGACTTTATCTTTTTAACCAATAAGGTGAAGGTCAGTCAATTTGGTTTTTTGTGGGTTTTTTGTTTTGTTTTTTAAAAAAACGGAGCCACGTTGTTATTGTGTTGCCTTGTTCTCTTTTTGGGAAAATGTTGAGAAATGTCATTCCCCCTCGTCACTCACTTAGATAAGAAAGCCCAAGATCAGTATTAGCAACCTTTTGAAGCCGTGCTGTGGTCCGGCGCCGCGTCACCGGGTATTGTTCGTTTTCTGCCCCTGTAGCCTTGCAGAATGAGGCCCCGGCCGCACCCCTGGAGGAGCTGGTCTACAGACGGTCGCTGCGAGTGGCCCTGGACATGCTGAATGAGGGAACCCCTGCCAGTCCAGAATGCCCTTCAGGGGAAGAAAGGGTGGCTCTGTCTCCAAGTGCAAAGCCCACGGGCATGGCCTCCTCGCGCTGTGGCTCCCACCCGGCTGCTTCCCACCGAGAGGACGCATCGGGCACTTCCCCACCTGGAAGGAGGCGGTGGACCCGACACAGCTGGTCAGGCTCGTCCACTTGTAAAGACGATCTCAAGTGCACAGTGGATGCCACCCAGAGGCCAGGGGACAGCAGAGACCCAGGTGTCCTGCCGGCCCCCCAAGTTGGAGCTGACCCTCAGGACGGAGGCAGGTCACAAACACACAGAAAAGCTTGGCCTCGCCCAAGTCAGAAGGGAAGAAAGTGTGCCTGGAGGCCCAGCTCACACCGGAAGGACCTTTCATCCTGCTCCGGCGTAGAGGAGAACGGGAGTAAGGGGAAGGCCGGCACCCCTCCAGCCCTAGCCTCGTGCTCCCAAGTCAGGGAGGATGACAGTCACACCAGCGCCAGTGGAGGTGGCCTGGTGTCGTCAGCGGGGTCCCCTCCTGCATTTCCAGCCTCGCCACAGAAGGCAGTTGACACCTGCCGAGAGACAGGGCCCCACTGCCCAACCTGCCTGGACGCTGGAGGAGTCCCTGCAAAGAGGCTACGCCTGGATGGCAGCCACAGGCCATCTGGTGGGACATCAGAGACGGGGCCCGTGACCTTGCACGACACTGCCGAGCACGCCCCTGTGACCTGCACACACAGGCTTCACCTCCCGGACCCCAAGAACACTGAGCAAGGTAAAGTTTCTCAGCCGAGAGGCTGGAGGTGTGGTTGTGGAGTCGGCCCTCGTGTGTTTTTAACCAGATCCTAACGAGCTCGTTCTCAAAATAGTTGTGGAGTTAGATGCCTCATTCCTCTTGGTTTGCCTTACCTACTGGGCAGGAGTCACCTCGGCCGCTTCCAGCCACTGGTCGGTTTTTTTTGTCTTGAACTGAAAGGAATCAGGAGAGGCCCACGGTAGGGTGTGGCGGAGCACTAGTCTGGGCCTTTGGAAGCACTGGTGCGGTCATAATGCCACAGCTGTGTTCTCTGCCCCCGCCCCGCCCCCCCCGGGCTGTTTTATTTGGAGCTCTTGCAAAAGCACTAACGCGGTCCCTCAGATTGGGCGGGAATCCCGAGAGCGATGAATGCATGTTGAGGTACCCGACTTGCCAGGAATCCTTGCATCAGTCCGTTTCTGTGCACTGTGATTTTTCTCATTTACGTTGCATCATCAGCCTTGTTTTCGAAGTGCTAATTCAGAAACCGTGGCTGCAACAATGGACTCACGTTTAGCAAGAGTCGTGAGGCTGGCGAAGGAGCAGGCAGTGTTTGGTTCTGTCTTACATAGGGCTGCTGTGAGTCGGAGCCAACTCAACGGCACCTGACAACTATTCAGAAACCTCAGTCTCTGAGAGGCGCTGCCTGCATTGACAGGGTCTTGCCTTAGTTCAACCCCTTTTTTTCTTGCCTCGGCAGTCTCCTTAGCACGTCCAGATGCTGCCTCTTTGCTGTTTTTCAAAAGGAAAGTAGCTACTTCCCTGCTTTACCCTCATAGTAGGGGCACTGGTACCCCACTCCCTGTATATCCAAGGAATAAGCCACGCTGGGACAAAAGGACTTCCCACCCAGAAGTCCCTCAGCTTTGACCGTTTGTGAGATTATTGCTGCATGTGTCTCCCTTCCCTTTATGAAGCACAGAGCTGTTCTCTCTGTCTCTGTCTCTCTCTGTCGTCGTTTACGTGCACTTTAATGGACATGGGCTCACTGGCACTTGGTAGTAGGAACTCTCCTCCCACACTTTTAGTCCTGTACTGTGTAGCGAGATGTCCCCAAGACATTACAGTGACAGTAAGTTTGCCATTGTTGACAGGCTGCCCACCCTCTGAGGGGTCAGTGGAGTTCAAGCCCCCTAACTCTATCCTGGAGGAAGATGAAGAAGAGGAGGAGCCCCCCAGAATCCTTCTCTATCATGGTAGGTGTGCTTTTGGGCATCACAACTTCACTCGGGAGAGAGGTTGCTCGCATCCTGGACCCTTTGCTGAGGTCTTTCTTTCAAGGCTTCTGACGCAGTTTAGTGTTTCTCTGACTGCCTCTGAGGCCTGCATCTTGACCTCTGTCACAGGAGACAGCTCTGTTAGAACACACAGGGTGTGTGGACAGTTGTGTGGGTGCCATGTAGAGGGACCAGCGCGTCGGCTTGCTTTGTCAGCTACATGCAGGACGCCCAGTGAAATTTTCATTTGGGCCCATCAACCCTTCATGGTTTGTTTTTAACTTGGTATGGCTGCTTTTTTTTGGAAACAGCTTTATTGAGCTATCATTTACATGCTGTATAACACACACGTATGGACTATTCATCTTAACATAGTCTCTGTGAGTTCTTTGTTTTTGCATTTCCACCTTTTTATTTAAAAATAATTATGGATTCACAGAATGTCATAAACACAGTACAGGGAAGTCCCAGAACCCACCCCACCCCGTGATGGCTCTTACATACTGTGGGACAAGATCACAACAAGAATTAGGCAGCACACTCAGCTCCCGCCAGGCTGCACACGCTCTGTATGTGTGTGTATATGTGCGTGTGTGCACTCAGCTCTCCCCAGGCTGCGTGCGCTCTGGGTGTGTGTGTGCGTGTGTGTGCATATGTGCGTGCTCAGCTTTCACCAGGCTGTGTGCGCTCTGGGTGTGTGTATACGTGTGTGTGCACTCAGCTCTCACCAGGTTGTGTGCGCTCCGGGTGTGCATGTCTGTGCACATGCACACACAGTCCTTGTATGTGGTTCTTGCCTGCTGGAGTGCTTTCCCACCTGTGTGTCCACGTTCTCACATCTGCATGCTGTCCCTTCTCTTCAGAGATTCTTGGTGGTCACTAGATGTTGCTCACTGAGGGGTTGAGCTGTCACCCACTGAATCACCTCCAGCCCACGGCACTGTAGGCTGTCTCATGACCCAGTGCTCTGGTGGCCTGTGCGGTCTCCAGGAAATAGTTTCTATAGGCCCCATGCCCGAGAATCAGATGGCTGGGCCCTGAGAAGGGACACCACTCCCCAGAAGGGCTGTCCCCCCACAGCCCAGCCTCTTAGTGCAGGGCTTGCTGTGGTCTCGTTGTTGGTAGCTCTGACTGTTCTTGACTTCTGATTTTTCTGAGTTTTTTCCGGACTGGCTTCTGAATCAGGCTGTTTGTGTCCTTGACCACTTTGTCCTCTTGGGGCTTCGCCCTCATGGGGCCAACTATTTTCTTCAAAACCAAATGCCTTCTCACTAGGTGGGCAGTTACCGCCCTCCCATTGGAGGGTTTGAGGCCCATTCTCTGGGATAGTTTCCCTCCCTTTACTGACCTCCTTCAGCAGCTCAGTCTGGGTGTTTTGCTGCCTTCCCTCTGCCTGGGCTCAGACTGCAAGGCTCTCTGCCCTGTGCCTCTGATTCCAGGCTCAATTTTCTCTGTGTTTTTCTGTTACTTGAGTCTTTCTTAGTGTAACCGTTAACCATACCAGAACTGTATTATCCCTCAAAAAAAAACCTGTATCCATGAAACAATACTACCCTCTGTTACTTGAATTTTTGTTTTCTAACTTATTTAAATGGTTTCCTCCTTCTGGAGGTTGTTTGGGTAAAAAGCACAGGTAAATTTTTCGATGCTCAGTTTTGCAGTTCCCTTGTAATTGTTGAAAACTGATGTCTCACAGTATTTAAGAGTCCGGTCGCCCAGACAGACACAGGCTTCGAGAGGAAGTGCCTTTGTTTGAGCCTTTGTTGGTCGTTGCCCCATTTCTGTTTTGATGCTGTCTCTGTGTGTATGTATGTGTACATGATGCTTTATTCAGGAATCATTTCAGCTTTACAGAAAGGTTGCTGAGATGGTAGACGTGGTGCTTGTCTGCCCCACCAGCTTCCCCAGATGTCAGTGTGCCCTACGTAACCGTGGACCTTCGTCACAACTAAGGATCCACCTGGCACCCTGTCATTTTGTCTTAACGTTCTCCCGGGCAATTAGACCTGGGTGCCACGAGCCCTCACATGTTCGAGCTCTCTGGATGTTATTGAGTGAATCATGTTAACGTCAGGATTAGACAGCATCACAATAACAGTGTTTTCTCATGCTGTTGCCCCCGCTAGATACAGATTTGACTTATCTGTTCTTTTTGTTTTTCTCTCTTTCTTTTTTTAATTCTAGAACCGCCTTCGTTTGAAGTAGGAATGCTAGTCTGGCTTAAATACCAAAAATACCCCTTCTGGCCAGCGGTGGTAAGAGCCCCTCTCCGTGTTTGTGCTCTTTCTGAAGTCTCGAGAGTTTGGCAGGATGTTTCCATTGTCTTGTCCTTAGTGGGGAAAACGGTGGGTTCACACACACAGTCTCTGGAGACTCATTTAACTCAGTAAGGGGAGTTTGGTTGTTTGGACAGAATGTGGCGTAAGAGTTCGTAGGTCTGGTTTTAACTGAGTGGGCCTGCTGGCACAGTGGTTAAAGCATTCACCTGCTAACCAGAAGGTCAGCCATTGGAACCCGTAAGACACTCCATAGGAGAAAGATGAGGCAGTTAGTCGGCTTCTGTAAAGATGTACAGCCTTGGAAACCTTATGGGGCAGATCCACTCTGTGCTGTAGGGTCATAGCGAGTCAGAATTGACTCAGTGGTGATGGGTTGGGTTTGGTTGGGGCCTGAAAACTCTGCTGGAAAAAAGAGTTCCAATGTTGTGCGTTTCAGACCACCACCACCCCTTAATTAGAGTTATGGTGAGGACTGGTTGCAGGCACATAGGTATTTGGGACCTCAGCAGTGACAGGGCCACTGGGAGTTGGTGTCCCAGCACCCACCGATAGCACAGAGCTCCTGCTGGGGTTGGCGATTCAGATGCAGCTGGGGACCTGGCGGCCGCTCTCGGCCTGAAGTTGCAGGTGGTTAGCGGAAGTGGTGTCAGGCAGAGGTGCTGTGCCGCCCCCTTCCGCCTCTCTCCCTCACAGGCCGCTCTCGGTTTCCCCTTTGTCGTCCTCCAGCACTGGTGGGCTGGGGACTATTCTAACTGCATCTCTTTTTTTATTGACGTTACTAAATTTCAATCCAAAAAATACTTGCTTTGACAGTCAGGAGATATCTTTTGTTTTCCTAAGTCCCATGCAGGCCGCACCTGTGTCTCCTTGCACATGACTGATTATGGTTACAAGAAAAATAGAATTAAAATCTGTGAAGTACTTTCTAGATAAAATATGTAACTTAAGTGAATTTATAGCTTACACAGAAGTGAAAAGATTCCAACCTGAGAATTTTAGTGATACCTTGTGACCCAGTCGTGAAGGGTGAATTGATTGGAGTCATGCCCTGTCTTCCCTTCCAGACTAGCTTCCTGGCAGGCACCCTATCTTCCCATCCCCTGCAGTTGCCACCCCTTTTCTAGACCTTTCTAGCCCTTTCTTTGGTTCCATCAGTTTCCTGGGCTCCTGCTGGTCAGGGACGTGCCAGACTCCTGGGGCTGAAGAATTCACAGCTGACCTTGCTACCCACACTGGCAGCTAGCACCGCTCCTAGGAGAGGGGCACCTGCACGTTATTCAGACAACCCTGTGTGCCTGGTGGCCGCCAGCGGGGACTCAGTGAATTGGGCAGCGAGGTGCAGGCTTACCATACATGTCCTGCGTTCTGAATTCACTTTGCTTGTCTGAAAACCAAGGAGGAGAATGACCGCTGAGCTCTCCAGAGAGCAAACCGGGACGATTATGTAAGAAGACAGCTGGCAGTGGAAGGTGCTGTTCCTTTCATTAAGAACCAAACCAGAAATGGCTGCCCTCTTGTGCTCCTTCACCAGCCCCTGCAGAGAAGTGGAAGCAGCGGCAGGCCCAGCGCTCGGGGGTTATGGCCTCCGACCTCACCTGGGGCCTGGGGGGTGCAGGCGGTTAAGCACTGGATGACTGACCAGAAGGTTGGTGGGTCAGACCCACCCAGGGCGCCTCAGGAGGCAGGCCTGCCCGTCTGCTTCTGAGAGGTCACAGCGGCTCTGTTCTGTCACACGGGGTCACGGTGTCAGAGTTGGCTCGACAGGAGCTGACAGCAGACATTGCCTGGGTTCCCCGCTACCCCAGTGTGGGGAGCATTGCTTCTAGTACTTAGCAGAAGTGGGATGATATCAGGGAAAGTATTTAAAATCCACAACCTTGTTTGTTCTTGTTGCCTCATTTCTTGCATTTGCCAACAGGTCAAAAGCCTCAGGCGACGAGATAAGAAAGCAAGTGTGCTTTTTATCGAAGGAAACATGAATCCCAAAGCAAGAGGGTGAGAGCTGCCACTGTTTGCTTTCCATAGATGGTTCCCATGTGAAGACCGGCGCGACTCAGACCCAGTGCCTGAGGGGGCGGAGGGCGGAGGGCAGACAGGGACTGTTCTCAGGCCCCAGGCCCTGGCAGGGTCAGAGCAGTTCCCAACGAGCCCTTCTTGCCAGCTCTGTGTCAGCAGAGGAATGACCCAGACGCTGGCTGTCATCCAGGGAACCAGCCAACACTGTGACCCTCAAAGCTACCTGCTGGCTTTGACCCTACCAAACTGACCTTGATTGGCGAGAGGGTCCTGCCCAACAGGTTCTTGCTCTTTGGCTGCTTGGCCTTGGCAGAGGGCTTGCTCCTGGAGTCAGTCCAACTTGTGCCGGCCACCTTCCACTCACATGCTTTGTAGGCTGTAGGCAGGTCAGTCACCTTTTAAAATTTTTGTGACCGTGTTTTGTTGTGGGCCAGTTATCTTCTGCTGGGCTCTTCATTATGGGATGAGAGCAAATGTGAACGTATCAGCCCGTGTAGAGCAAGCTCTAAAACCACAGTGCACCGTGGGGTGCCCAGAGCCCTGCGGGCATAGCAGGATCACCTGGCTCCCTGGCTTGTCTGGCTGCCACTGCCTCCTGCTGGTGGTGGGGGGTATGACGCCAAAATAGCAGTTCTAGACCCAGGCTCCTGAGGTGTCCCCACCAAGTGCTTGTCCCTAGCTGTGGCCCAGTCCTATCCCTCCCCAGGGATACAGTCAGTGTTTTTTGAACGTCCCTGACTTGCTAACAGCATCTGGCACCATAGGTGCCAGCCTGTACATGGCTTCCCAGGGCAGCTGAGAAGACAGATTGCTATAGGAGGTGGCGCTACCCCCACTTTGACCAGAGAGAGGGAGGACTGTCTCTTTGGCCCACGAGCTGCTCTGTCTGTTAACTTTTGCCGTTTTTGCTTCGTCCAGCATCACAGTGTCTCTTAGAAGACTGAAGCACTTTGACTGTGGAGAGAAGCAGGCACTGCTGGTAGGTGGACTGTTACTTATGCTTGTTTCTTTCTGTGGCCTGTTTTGTGACAGGTCCATTTGTCCCTAGTGTAGTTTGTGAAATCCCTTAGTCGCATACCTGCGGGTCAATGGTCCTGTGGAGTCACTTCTGGGGCCAGTTTCCCTGTGCCTGGCAGGTGTTGGCCCTCGCGTCCTATTCTACAGGGGAGGAAACGGAGGCTTTGACGAGTAGGACCATGCGCCCAGGGCTGGAGAGTGGTGGGGCTGGAGGCAACAGCAGCTTCCTGCGCTGCCCTGGCCGGCCCTCAGCCATTTGAGGAGGCCCGAGCGTCCACAGACTCACTAGGGCAGGGACTTGGAAGAGCCGCCACCATGCCTTTTCTTAGCTGACATCCTTGTGAGCGTCTCATCAGCTTTTTATGGTCAGCTGTGTTGATGGGCTGCTCTCTATATCCTGTTTGAAAGCACTTGCATCCATTTTGGAAACTGAAAGTAAACGGGGTTCATTGGGCCCTGCCTCCAGCACCAGCTTGCACAGTTTGGGGATGAAGGCAGCTCAGCCTGGACTCAGCCGAGAGCTTCCCGTCGGCTCTGGGCGGGGTGGGCGGGGGTGGTTTCCGGGCCTCCATGCAGTGGATGGGTTGTATGTTGTATCTGAGGAGCTTGTGGGTACCTGCAGGCATTGGGTGCACTTAACGGTTCTTTGTGTTTTTGTCTTAAATGCTTAGCTCTCTGCAAGGTTGACCCCCAGATAGTACCCTGAGGTTTTTTGGGTGTTTTTTTTTTTTTTTTTTTTTTTGCTTTTTGTTTTCTTCATGGGAGAAAGACCTGGCAATCTGTTCCCTTAAAGATTACAAGCTAGGGAGCCTATGGGCAGCTCCTCACTGCCACAGGGCATCACCGCAAGTCAGGACCGGCTCTGCAGCCAAGCGGGCTTCGCCCGGAGGAGTGGTCTCTGGAGGAGCTGGGGTACTCTGGCTGGCTGATGGTGTCCCAGGCCATGGCCTACTTCCTGATGTTTGTTGGGTGCATCCCTCCTAGCCCTGGCAGCGTCTCCCGGTCGCTGCGTGGTGATTTTAGTGCTCAGTGTCCTCACGCCTCACTGTACCGTGCAGCTGCAGTCCCCATGCCCTGAGTGATCCCACCGCAGCTTATGTACCCAGGCTGGGTGGAGCGTGAACCCAGCCCAGCTGGACCTTGCCACGTAAGCCAGAGTGGGACAGACGGGGGCTCAGGTGTGGGCTGACCTTGAGTCCAGCCATCAGGGAGGCAGAGGGATGCTGTTACCATCCTGCAGGGACACTGGTTGGCTGGGCATCCCTCCCTTCAATGCCAGGGGGTCTCACTGTGACTGCCCTGCCTGCTGTCATGAGGCCCCCCCAGTTGCCAAAGGTTTTAAGATCTGTGTCTGACGCCGATGCTGGCTGTGCTGGAGTGCTGCCCTTTCCACGGCTTTAGCCCTGAGAAGTTGCGGATCTCTCCCACCCCAGGCCATGAGCCTTCCTGCGTTTGCAGGATGCCAGAGTGTTTGCAGGGGTGCTGGGAGATAGTCTCTGGGGAGCCACTTTATGTCTTTCTTAGCAGTACCCAAGTAGCCTAGAGCAGCAGGCTCATGGGTGATTGTGCTCACAGACCTGCCCAGGTGGCGGGTGCTGGGCTGGCCTCTCCTAACCTCAGGAGCTGGCCTGGGGGCAGCCAGCTGTGAGTGCAGCACAGTGGCCACTGAAGCTCCAAACACAAAGAGCGTATAAGCCACCCTCCTGCTCCCATTCACCCTCCGTCTGGGTTTCTTTGCAGCACAAAGCCAAGCAGGAATTCGAGCAGGCCGTCGGCTGGTGCGTGTCCCTCATCACGGACTACAGAGTCCGGCTAGGTGCGTGGGGCCTCCCGGGGGACAGCATGGGGGGCTGGGTGTCTGACCTGGTTAACCATGCCAAGGCTCCAGAAGAAATCGCCCTACACCTGGTCCCATCCCGTCCTACCTAGCTGGACCTACCCTGCCCAGGTGCCTAACTAAAGTCCCCTCAATTACCGGGTACACAAAAGTCACGCTGATAGGGATACTTCACCGAGCTGTTGTTGGTAGCTGGCCCAGACACCTAGCTGACTGTGTTGTGGGCTGTAGGAGCCATGTCCTCCTCACCAGGTGTTGCAGGGTCTGCCTCGGCTTCCCTGCGTGACACCCTTCTCTCCTCTGCAGGTTGTGGCTCTTTCACCGGCTCCTTCCTGGAATACTATGCTGCTGCTATAAGTGAGTCCGTGTGCGGCCCTTCTTCTGTCCTTTAGAAACGACCCCTGTTCTCTCTGGGCTCTGGGAGACACTAGGTCAGGGCTGGCCATCTGTCATCACCGCCCCCTCCACGGGTCCACACACCTCCCAGACATAGCGACCCAGGCAACACACACCACGTCCACAAGCCCATCCTGGGAGCCTCACTACAAGCGCTGTGTTTGGTGGTGACCACACAGATTATTTCAGGGACGTTGCCTGCACATGCCACTGTGTGAGTGGCACTTTTCTCCTGCCTCTCCTGGCAACAGGGTCTTTGCTTGTCCTATTCATTTAGGTTTTAGCTTATTTCATCTCAGGTTCATTGTTGTCGAACACGCATAAGGGGGACGTACTCGTGGTAACAGTTTCTTCATTGACTGTTCAGTAACCCTAGTTACATTGTTCAGCTGTGCCACCACGTTCACCCTTCCAAACCGCCCTGCCACCACCAGCACTTGTTTTTTGCCAGCACAGGGATGTTGCCATGGGCAACATGCTGTCCTGTGGGCGCTACAGGAATCCAGGTAGATGGCGTGATGGTTCTTAGTGGTTGGGGGCTCCTTGCCCGCAGAATGACAGAGAGAGGAGCCTGTTAAGGGAGAGACAAGAACCCTGCCCAAGGAGGGCCCCTCAGGGACATGAGCGTTCCACTGCAGCGGGTCAGTGCACAGCGCCTGTCAGGCACCAGGGGTTACCCTGAGGGGCAGGGAGGCTCCTGGGCCACCTCAGCAAGCACCAAGCACCCAGGTGGTGGCCTTATGCTTCCCCACAGGCTACCCCGTGAGGAAGTGCATCCAGCAGGATACCCTGGGGGCAGCGTTCCCCCAGCTGAGCGGGGGGGATGCTGAGAAGCCGGAGGCAGCCAGCCCCCTGGGCCAGAGCCAGCCTTGCCGAAAGGTGCTCCCAGACCGCTCCCGGGCTGCGCGAGACCGTGCCAATCAGAGGCTGGTAGAGTACATCGTGAAGGCCAAAGGCGCCGAGAGCCACCTGCGCGCCATCCTCAAGAGCCGGAAGCCATCGCGCTGGCTGAAGACGTTCCTGAGCTCTAGCCAGTACGTGAGGTGCGTGGAGACATACCTGGAGGACGAGGAGCAGCTGGACCTGGTGGTGAAGTACCTGCAGGGTGTCTGCCAGGAGACGGGAAGCTCAGTCCTGACGCGTGTCAACGGGGACCGCATCCGCTTCATCCTGGATGTGCTGCTGCCCGAGGTTGGGGGCCGCTGCCTTGGGGCGGGGGGGCTGCTGCCCAAGGGTGGGGGGCTGTGGCTCAGGGTGGGATGTGGGGATCACGCCGCCCAGGGCCTCACAGCAGGAGCACTCCCTGGAGGGTCTTATTTGGGCATTGGTGTGTCGTTCCCCAAAACCTTGCCACATGAGGCTTCCACCCACCTCTGCACCCTGGGCTGTTAGCGTGTCAATCTTCTCACCAGCAGCAGGGCCACAGATGCCACCGCTGCACCCGGGTGTGGAGGTCGAAAGGTTTCTGCTCCGGAGTTCCCTGGGTAAAGGGAGTTCTTATTTCATTAATTCTGAACTTAAGGAGCTGTGGCGGCACAAACTGTCAAGTGGTCGGCTGCTAAGTGAAAGGGTGGTGGTTCGACGCCCAGCGGCTCTGTGAGAGAAACACTGGTGATCTGCCGCCGTAAAGATTCCAGCCCGGGAAGCCCTGCGGGGCCGCTGTGCCCTTTGTCATAGTGTGGTTCTCTCAGCAGCACCCCCCCCAGCAATCAGCCTGAACCTCAGCTGTGTGTCTCAGGCCAGGCCCGGAGCAGCAGAGCCCAGGGCTGGTGGTCAGACGCTCACGGCTGTAAGGCAGGGCCGCATCGGGCACTTTGTATCCAGTGGGAATCTGTCACACTGAACGTGCTTTAGCTCAGTTACTGGGAAATTCCAAAGGCATACAGAGATAGGATGGTGGGGCTCTCTTGACTGCCCCCTGCCTGCCTGCCCGGCACAAGGCCCCCCTCACTGTAGAGCTCCTCCACCGAGGTGGTTATCAGAAAAAAGGAAGAACTCAAGTATATTTTTGAATTTGTAAATACTTACAGAGACTGTGTATGTCTAAGTCAGGGATTCTCAACCAGTGTGATTTTGCCTTCCAGGGGTTACTGGGGCCATTTGTGGTTGTCACGACTGGGGGATGCTACTGGCGCTGAGTGGAGGCCCGGGCTGCTGCTCAGCACCCTGCAGGCCGCCCCCCCCCCAGAAGAGGGTCCTGTCCGTGTCGGCAGTGCCAGGGGATTGTATATGAAACCATTGCTCAGACTCCGGGCAACCCCATGTCTGCAGAATAGAACGGAGCTCACCAGAGTCCCTCAAGGCTGTGACCTTTCAGAAGCAGGTTGCCAGATCTGACCATAAGGACCCTTTCCAAAATGTTTTAACTACAACTGTAGTACATTGTCTCACCTAAATGCAGTGACGACGATTCCTTAGTACCGGCGCTTGTCGAGCAGTTCCCTAGTATCCAGTGTCTGTTACACGTTCAGACTGCCTATCGTGTCGTGCTTGCTACGTTTTCACAGTAAATCTGCAGGTTTTTTTAAAAACGCACTTGATGTGGGCCCTGTCTTCTGTCTGTGCTTTTAAAGTGCCGTGGACATCGGTCTCTAGTGCAGAAGATAATGCTGTTGATTCAAATCAGAAATCTCATTACCAGGCGAGGTTTCCCAGGTCGAGAACCATGAAGCAGGAGTTCTGTGCGATTAAACTGGGCTGAGTGCCTGTGCTCAGCACTGATGCGGGGGGGGGGGGGGGGCGTCGGGTCCTGCTGTCTGCTCTTCAGCCTCTGTGCTCTTTGCAGGCCATCATCTGTGCCATCTCCGCGGTGGACGCAGTGGACTACAAGACAGCTGAGGAGAAGTACATAAAAGGACCGTCTCTCAGCTACCGGTAGGCTGCCGTGACACCGCTGTGGACCTGTCATACGGGATTTTAGAAATCTCAGGGAATTAACTAACTTGGGTGTGTCATGCATCACCTCATCTGTACCAAGAGGTCTCGGGAAGAAGGGTTCACAACAGTTTGGACTTGGAGGAGTGGCGGAGGCCCCTCTAGTAAGGTTCCCAGGCTGGAGGCAACAGGCAGGGTCTCAGTCCACCCGTGCCTCTGAGTGAGCGAGCACAGGTTCAGGGTTTACGTGGGATATGCCACCTTGTTCCCTGACAAAGGCCAGTGTGACATAGGGGTGAGAAGCCTATGCCCTCGGGTTAGCGAGTAGCCGGCAAAGCATCCTCCCTGCAGGTGAGTGGTCGGGGTGCTTTGGGGCCTCACGTTCGGTGTCAGAACCTCCAGTTGCAGCCGGACAGAGTGAGCTCCCGGGTTGCTCGGTTCTTTCCGCGCTGCCCATGTCTCTGTGCCTGAGCTCTGAAGGTTCCTGAGGAGCATTCTCATGTGGTAGAGGTGACAGGTGGTTCTCGCAGTGGAGGGGTGTGTTTCTGTGGGTATGTACAGTAAGCCCTCCGTGGATGCAGCCAGCCACAGGTAGAAACACTCAGGGCCGTGGTGAAGTGAGTGGGCGGCGCGGTCCTTCATAGGCCGAGAGGGAGCGGGAAGTGCTGCTTCTGTAGTTTTTATGTCGTACGAGGTGTAGTATGTCATGTAGAGATAAAGTTCACAGGAGGGCATGCATAGGTTGTATGTGAATACAGCGCCACGTTACATGAGGGACTTGGACACGCGTAGATTTCAGTTTTCACCAGGGGTCCTGGAGCCCACCCCCACGGGTACTGAGGGACGGCTGCGTTTTGGAAGCATCACAGTGACCTGTGCCTTAGGGGTTCGTGCTCATTGTAGAAACTACAGAACAAACCCGTTTGTAGTTCTCCACAGAGGCCTTTGTTTCTGTGCATACTTGTCGTTTTGACCTGAGACGTCTATGCTCCCACCCCCTCACTGGACAGTCCAGAGACCTGGCTGCTACAGGTGCTGCAGAAACTCAGAGCTGTCCATCAGGACCCAGGGAGCCAGGTCCCTGCTGACGGCGCTGGCCTGTGCAGGAGTGAAGTGCGCGGGGCTGGCTGCTGGCCACGTGCCGGGCTGTGGCCACTGTTAATCTCCTATTGTGGGCCTTATGTCTGTATTTGGGACTTTGTCCCCCTTTCTCCAATCCTGTGGCCATTTCAGAAAAGATGGGCTGCTTACAATTTTACCACTCAGAATAAAGCTGTGATCAAGATGTCTCTCTCCCATGGTGTAGTTGGCTGCCCTCGGGGTTTTGGCCCCGGAGCCCCTAATCCTGTCTCTGGGCGCGCTGCCAGGCATGTGGGAGCCTGGTGGGGCTGCGAGGCAGCTGCTCTGAAGACCCAGCGTGACTCCCAGGCCAGGGTTTCTGGCCAGGGCCGCATGCCAGGCGCCCAGCCGCCTCAGGCCGCTGAGACACCGTGGTGGAGCCCCTCCCGGCTCCCAAGGAAGCGCCATCCTATCTGAGGAGGACCCAAGCGTGGGTGGCAGCTCATGGTGCGCACACACAGCCCGCCGGGTAGGCTGGCGTGGCACACGGACCCCGAGGTGTGTGGGAGTCTGGATCTCAGCAGGGTCTGCCGGCTGTCCCAGGAAGATCAGCCTTGCTGTGTTCACAGGAGTTGACCCAGCTGTGTCCGCAGCACAAGCTGAGAATCTGGAGCACAGGGCCTTAGTGGTCTAGCCTGACACCCTGGAATACATGAACACAGCCATGGCGTCCTGGGAGAAGGTCAGGCCCGGCTAGCTCACCTCCCAGCCAAGGCGTTTGCTCCTGCCACGCTGATGACGGTGGCTCTGTATTGAAATGACTCCTCCTGAGAGGAGCTCCTGCCAGCCTGCGATAGCCAGGAGCCATGCGACTTCTTCATCCCTTTACCTGCTGTAAAAGTCTCAGATGAGCTGTGTAAAATGATGAATCGCACAGTGATGAGAAGTTAATTAGGTTGAACACGTCACCCGCTGTTTTATTACATGCGGGACGTGGTCTAAATATCGTGAGGAGGGAGTGACGCCTGCGCGCGACTTCTGTCCTCCATTCCAGCTTCAGTTTTACTGTCAGCGTGCAGGCAGCGTCCACTGACCGGGACTTGCTGTTTCCGCCATCCCCCTCGCCCATCGGGTGGAGCATCCGCCCGGCTCTGCCTCACCTGGACCTGCAAGGTTGAGCTGGGACAGCTGTGCGCTGCTCGGTGGTGGGGCTGCCCTGGCTTGGTAGTCATTTCTTGTTTGGAGGTGGTTGCTTTCATTGATTGCATTTGTCAAGTGAGGGCTGGTGAGGACTGTGCTAGACTCCCTTCCCTGCCAAGGTCCCCTGTTGGTGGTCTCTCTAGCCTAAGGCAGGACTTCTGAGAAGGCCCAGTGGCTGAGCAATTGCTGGCGCTCTCGTTTTTAGCTTGGTGGGAACATCAGTAGCTGCGTTTGCCGGCCTGGCAGGTTCCAGGTGCAGCTCGCCGAGCTCAGCCCCCTCATCCCGGGCCATCACCCCGTGAGTGTGCCGCTCCCCCATCACCACACAGGCCTCTGTAACCTCTTACCGGGACTTAGTCACAGGCAGGATGTGATGCTGCATCTTTAAGACAAGGTGACAGGCGGCTGACGCCAGGTGTCCGTTGTGTCTTCTGCAGGGAGAAGGAGATTTTTGACAACCAGCTCCTGGAGGAGCGCAATCGTCGGCGCCGGTAACGGAGCCGCCGCCCAGTGGTTCCTGAGCTGCACACCGCCCAGCGCCCTGGCTTGCCCTCTGTCGGCCATGAATACATTCTGGAGGGAGAGATGCAGACAGGCCTGCGCGTCACTCTCGGCTCTGTCTGGTTCCCTGCACCGTGATGTCCTACCTCCACACGTCTGCACGACAGCATTAACAAAGCGAGCACCGTCCGCACCTGCTTTGTTTGGAAGAAGGGTTGCCGACGGGTTTGTAGGAGGGCACAATGGCCGTGTGTGTGGGAGTTCAGGGAGCGTGCACGCTTCTGTTTTTGTGTCGCGCGGAACGGGTGTCTTGAGTGATCACTGTGTAAGCTAAGCCGTCAGGTGTCGGGCGGCAGGAATGTAAGGGTCTGCTATAAACAGAGCTCCGGAAACAGCAGTTCAGTGTTCTCTTCTCATCCCTTCTGTGCGTACTTTCACCTCAAGGTAGTTTGGAGATTTTCTTTGCCACTCCTATGTGTATATATTTGAAGGAAAACGAACTTTTTTAAGAGGTGGAACCAAAGACAGGGTGCTGTCTTGTTTTCACATTTGCTGCGATGCTTGTGCAGAACAAGCTGAAAATAGTTTCTTTCTGGTGGCCTTTCCCCGTAGTCCCCAGTGGTGAACAGGTCTCTGCTGGCTGGTGGACAAGGGGGCACTGGGCATGATGCTCTGATGGGCCTCTGGTCCCGTGTGACCTCCCCTCAGGGCTGGGTCTGACCTCAGCAGCCAAGCAGTATCCACACACGGCCAGTTCTCCATCCAGGTGATCGGGCCCGATGGCTGAGATGGTGTTCTGGGGTGGCTGCTCGCCCCCCAGAGTCCCCTCAGTCACCTTTGTGACATCTTTGGGAACACATGCTGTGGGAAGATCAGGCACTTTGTCCCAGGCTGATGGGCACAGAGGCGAGTGCGTCTCACTGCCTGACTGCTGCATCACGCCTTGGAGCAGGCCAGCTGCGCACCTCATTCCCTCCCCGGCCACAGGGTGCTCAGCTGATGGACTGGGGAGGGAAGGCTCAGCAGCAGGGTCTGCTGTGGGAAATGGGGATGAGCTGCTAACTGGACGTTGACAGCTGAGGAGGAAGATGGCGGCAAGGACGCCTGGTCAGGGCTGGCGCACCTGCTTGGGCTCCAGAGGGCCTGGGGGTGCACCTGCTGCTCGCAGCGTCGGCACACCCGCAGCGGTCACGTTTGTGACTTGTATTTGCGTCAGAGGTGAGCACAGGACGGCAAGACCGCAGGCTGCCCTGGGGTCAGCCTGCTCTGCCCAGGGGCCTGCTGGTTTAGCAGGGGTGTCGGCGAGCGGTGTGCGGGCTGGCCCATGGAGCTGCTCCCCCATCGCCCCACTCCCTGTTGGGTCTCAGCTGGAGCGAGTTGGATCCAGGTGTGTGTGGGCTTGCAGGTGACGCATGAGTGAAGAAGCTCTAGTGGGCAGCTCTTCTTGTTTCTTGGCAACTCCTGTGGGGCAGAGAGGAGGAGACCCACCCACCTGCTGTTGGAGGAAGAGCCCAGACACGCTTCCCCGTGGGAGCCTGGGAGCTGAGGCTCACGGCCGTGCTGCTGCGATGGGACCCTGGGTCTCCTGCCTGAGCAGCTGGTGTGCCTGTGTCAGAGAGCACACTGTGCTTTGGGTGGGGAGTGTCTGCGTTTGTGGAGGCTGGCCCACGGGGGGTTGGTTCCGTTACTGTGACATACTTTGATGTCTTCTTCTCTGCTTATCTGTTCACATTCTCGCAGTTTGGTCATTGAGTGTGATTCTTGAAACAGGAATTAAAGCCTTTTTGGAGCTCTGGCTGTTCTTTATTTCAGCCCTTAGACATGGGGGTGTCCTCAGGGACTGGGGTGTCCACCTCCTGGATGCTGGTTCTCAGAAAAACTATCTCTCAGGAGGTGCTTAAGGGGAAGTGCTCACCCCACAGCGGCCCCACAAGGCCCAAGAGACACTGGTATTTTGCAGGACAAATCTGGGGAGGCTATTTAACCCTCAGCCTGAGTAGAGCAAACATGTCAGGTTAAAAAAATTACCAAAGCGGCACACACAGAGTTAGTTAATCAAACATGATAGAAGGCCTCACATTCAGGCCCTTGCCCGCCACCCAGTCTTAGGCCAAGAAAGGTCCGTGGCGCCCTTGGCTCTTACCATTCCAGGTTTGTTATGGGTCCCCAGGGTATGGGTTTAAGTCAGCCCTCAGACTGCCGTGTCCCCTGCAGGGCTGATGGGGGCTCTGTCTGTGCCCCGGGCCGACAGGAAGTCAGTTGACCTGACTAGCATGTGAAACGAGGGAGATGCTGATGCTGCTCCCTGGCCATCCTTCAGGTGGTGAGGGCTGGCCCAGGAAACCCGCAGCACGTAGCTGGTGCTGCACGGACAAGCGTGGAGGGGACACTTGACAGCACATGCCACCGCCCTCACTCCCACACACCCATATACCAGCTCAGCCACCTACTCGCACAGGCCTCCACCCTGCCCCTGTCTGCCTCGAGGTTCCCCACCCAGCACATGCATCTCAGTGGTGACCATTCCACCTACCTTACCTGAGCCATGGGTCCCCTCCCCCTCAGCACTGCTGACATCAGGGCTGAACCGCTGGGGGGCACTGTAGGGTGTTGAGCAGCATCCTGGCCTCCACTCACTTGATACCAGTAGCACCCATCAGTCGTGACAACCACACATGTCCCCCAAAGATTGCCCAGTGTCCCCTGGGGGCAAAATCACCCAAGGGGAGAAACCCTGCATTAGGGGATTCCACTGACCCCAAAAAAAACTATATCCCACAGTCAGGTGACCTAGGACGCTGCCCACATTTAAATGCACACACTGATTGGGGAGGAGAGAGGAGGTAACTCAGGATCACCATGGGTTACACGGTCTGACCTGTTAGGGGTTCATGCTGGCATGATGGGAGCAAGCTCAGCTGTTTTCCCATATACTTTGTTCATCTCGGCACTGCTGACACCTTGGAACCGGATGTGCGGGGCTGCTGTCTCCCACACAAGCCCACCCTGCCTGCCCTCACTGGTTCAGTCAGCCAGAGTTGGTTCCAGCTCTGTACATATACCACTCTAACGTGTTTCTTCCAAACCTGGTGGCTGACAAATTCTCTCACGGCCTCTGGGGATCGGGAATTCAGGAACGGCTGTGCTGCATGGTTCTGGCCTCATGCTGTTGGTTACAGTCAGACGGCAGCCAGGTGGTGTCACTTGAAGTCTGGGCCTCTGCTTCCCGAGTGGCTCACAGGCAAGCTGGTGCTGGCTGTTGGCACGAGGCCTCAGTTCCCCTCTCTCTGGGCGGCTTGGGCATCCTCACGGCGTGGCTGGCCTCCCTCAGCATGAGCGACCTAACACCCTTCATGGCCTGGCCTTAGAAGCCACCTTCCTGGTCACTGCCTTAGTGACTGGATGCTGCTGGGACAGAAATACCAGTGTAGGTTAACATCTGAATTCAGGGCCCTGGCTCTGGGGAAAGGCTCTTTCTGTCAACGAGGAGAGGAGCCTTGGCCCCAGCTTCGGATTTTTGGTTCTTTCATGATCTTCATGTGGTGTGATGAACCCCCACTCCCAGCTTTGGTTGCTGCCTGTCAAGACACACCCCACACTAATTGGGCCTTATTAACAAAACCCATTGCCAAATGGTAGATTATGACCACAGGTATAGGGCGTAGCATTTACAGTACAGATTTCTGGGGGACAAAGTCCAATCCGTAACCTCATAGTCCCTGTTGAATGGGGGAGAAGACCATGTGAGGGTGTGAATACCAAGAGGTGGGTATCATCGGGGGCCGTCTTGAATGCTGGTGCCCACAATTCTCCGAGGGCCCTCAAATCCATCCTTTCAGCCCCACAGCCCAGACATGAACTCAGGCCATCAAGTATCCTGGCAGGTCCTCCTTGGCAGTCTCGGTCCCCATACACACACACACACACCAGCATTAGGGAAAGGCTAAGAGCCTCCTGTTCTGGTTCCTAGTGCCGCTCTGACCAGAAATATACCACAAATGGGATGGCCTTAACAAACAGGAGTTTATTCTTACGATTTGGAGGCTTTAAGTCCAAGTGCAAAATGCCAAGCTCTAGGGGCTGGGTGAAAGCCCCTCAACCTTGGGGTCCAGCTCTGCCTCCTGCTTCTGGCCCACTGGAGATAGAGGCGTTTCTTCACTCAGACAGCTGCTGGCTGCTGAGGCTGAGAAGCCCCAAGGTTGACAAGTAAAAAGGCACAGTCCCGATGTTACCAAAGCACACGGCAGGCCATTAACTTAAGTCCATTGTAAGTCCCAAGGTCGGCAGAGCATGGCAGGCTGCTGAGCAACGACACAGCTACATGCAGGGTCCAAGCGTGCCACAGGCTAGAGACCATTCCCAAGGCTTCTCCTTAAATACAGGAAGCAGACCACATCCCAAAGGCAGCTACTCAGCTGCTTGAGGTAGAGCCCACCATGGAGTGATTGCCAGTCTCATCATGGGGAATAACTACCACCAGCTGCCCAGCCACTCAACCAGGCCCAGCCAAGTTGACACACAACATAACCACCACACCACCCAAACCCTTTCACTGGCTCTCTCTTTCCTTCAGGAAAAGGTCTAGTATGACTTGTCCACAGCTTCTCCTCTCACACTAAGGACATAAGGAAAAAAATAAAACTCCGCCAAGAGAAGACCATCAGACAAACCCAATGTGCAGGGCATTCTACAGAATAACCAACCAAGCTCACTGTTGTTGAGCTGGTCCCTACTCACAGCGCCCCTAGAGGACGGAGTGGGACTGCCCCAGAGGGCCTCCAAGGCGGCCAATCTTTGTGGAAGCAAAGTCCAAACCATGGGTTGATTCTGAGTCACAGCGCCCCTAGAGGACAGAGTGGAACTGTCCCACAGGGTTTCCAAGGCTGTGGAGAAGGATGCTTGGTAGAGGGTCTGTGAAAAAGGCGAAGCCCCCACCAGATGGATTGACACAGTCGTTGCACAGATGAACCCCAGCATAGCAGGGACTGTGAGGATGGAGCAGGGCCAAGCGGTGTTTCCTGCTGTCGTGCGTACACTTGCTGTGGGTCACAGCCACCTTGACGGCACCTCACAACAACAAACTTGAGGGAAGCCAACTGCCGCGTCTTTCTCCTGTGGAGTGGCTGGTGGGTTTTGGTTAGCAGCCTAGTGCTTTAACCCCTGTGCCACCAGAACTCCTTTACAAAATAACCAGCGCTCTGGAAAACCATCAAGGTCGTCACACATGCGGAAAGTCAGAAACCACAGCCTGAGTACATGTATGCAGGACCTGAGGCAGGAAATGGCCATTAGTGAAAAGAGGAGGGAATTCTGAGTCAAGTGTTGACTTCACTGAATGACAATGTATTAACATTCGTGGGTTCCTCTTGAAACATGGAGCACACTGAGGTGCCGTGTTACAGACTGGAAGCCAGTGCGGGCTGTGGAGCTATGTACTACCTTCGTAGCGTTTTTGTAAATCTAAAGCTCTTCTGAAATTAATTTAAATTTTTTGAAACACAAAAACTGCACAGCATGACCAGCTGCTGGGAACGGAGGAGAAAGGAGTCCTCATGGTGACAGTGTGGCTGGTGGGAGTCAACCTGAGGGGCCTGGCCGCCTACTTCAGAAAAGCCAGCCATTGCCAACAGCGAGCGCAGTTCCACTCTGACACGCGGGGTGTTGCCATGAACTCGACACCAACCCAACGCGTTTTTAAAGGGAAGGGGTCTTTGTGTACCTGCCAAAACTTGAAATTCCTGTCAAACACGCCCCTTTTCCCCATGGTGTCTCAACCCAGATATGATTGTCCTTTTTTTGCTTGAAGGGCTGTGTTTGGCCAGGGTGACACCTCCCATCCCCTCCTAGCTCCCCACGCCTAATGCCTCTCTATCCCATGGGACCTCAAGCTCCCTGAGAACAGGGACCAGGCCTGGCTTTGCTCACCATGGTGTCCCCAGCACATAGGAGTAATTCAGTGACTGTGGTCCTTGCCATGCAGCCAGCCTCACTGCTCCCTTGCGTTTGCCCTCATGGGCCACACAGGGAGACCACATACCCAGTAGGACTGTCAACATTAAGTGGTACACTCGTCAACAGTATTTTGGAACCTCTGTGGCTTTCAGTGTTTTGTGCTGGCTTTTATGATTTGAAGGAGCTCTGGTAGTGCAGTGGTTAGGCATTTGACCACTAACCAAAAGGCTGTGGTTCTGAATCCAACTGCTCCACGGAAGAAAGAGGAGGGGGTGTGCTTCCACAAGGAAACCCAACAAGGGTGGCTGTGAGTCGGAATCAACTCAATGGCGGTGAGTTTGGTTGGGTTTGGTTTTATAATTTGCACTGGTTCTAACCTCATCAATGAAGACTATTGCAATCAGCGGGGAGAAGGAGAAGTTTGGGCTGGAATCATTGTAGACAGCCTCGGCGGTGAAAGAAAGGGGGTGTTGAGTTGCTTGTTCTGTTTGAACCCCCCACAGGGCTGCGCCTGAGAAGCGGGCCCACTCAGCCTCAGTTCTTCATCTGCAAAATGGGACAACACTGTCGCAAAAGGACAGATATTATACCATCTCACTTAGAAAGAAGCAAGTCTCTAAAAACCAAAGATCATTAAAGGTTACCAGAGCAGGAGGGAGGAGCGTAAAGGCATTTGATTGCTAACCAGAAGACGGGAGGTTCAAACCCACCAGCCACTCCTCAAAACGAAGGCTGGGCAATCTACTATCTGTAGTGATACTGCCTTGGAAACCCAAAGAGAGATCACGATGGGTTGGATCCGACTCCACGGCAGTGACTTTGTTTTCTTTGTTTTTTGAGGGCAGGAGGGAGGGGAAAGACGGAGTTTTTGTTGAGGGTTGGGGGTGCGGGGCGGTGTTTGAATTAATGTTAATGGTAGTGGAATGTTTTGGAAAAGGCTAGTGAGAATGGTGGCACGTGACAAATGTCACCAAGGTCATTGAATTATGAATAGTTTTGTTAGCCAATGTTTTGGTGGTTATATTTTAGCTACAATTAAGGAAAAAAAAACAACACTGAGGGACCCAACGCTTGCCGAAACCCGGGATCGAACCAGGGACCTTTAGATCTTCAGTCTAACGCTCTCCCAACTGAGCTATTTCGGCTGAGCAACAAACGGCGACTTTTGCTCAGACTCCGCCCCTCATCGCGTCGTCGGTGTAGGCAGGCCTTGCTTGCCTTGTAGAGCTGCGCCTGGCACCCTATCGCAGTGCCGTCTCTGTGGCGCAATCGGTTAGCGCGTTCGGCTGTTAACCGAAAGGTTGGTGGTTCGAGCCCACCCAGGGACGTGTAAGTACGTTTTTGTCTTCGAGAGTATGAAGGAAGTGTGCAGTGAGTTCCATTTTCGCGGGACGCCGGGTCCCAAATGTTCCCCACTTCCTCCTCTATTAATTGGTGGGGGTATTAGGGCGCACCGGTTAGGGGGCGGCAACGAGGGCAGAAAGCGCGGAGGAACGTCTAGCTCCGGTTCCTGTTTCCGCGCGCTCACCGAGCTTCTTTAGCCGCCGGCCCGGGGACCCGGAGTGCTAAGGAGGACGGATCTCAGAGGTTGTCTGAAGGCCGAGACCAAGATGGCGGCGCTATCGGGTGAGCGCGGCGCCGGTAGCGGGTCGGGGCCGGGGGTAGCCGTTAGCGAACTGGGAGCGAGGCTCCCGTATGCTTCGGACGTCTACATCCCGGGTCAATCATCGGACTGCAGCTTGGCCTGCAGTGAACGAGCTCTGATACTGACCCCTGATCACAGACGGGGATACTGAGGTTCAGCGGGGCGCTACGCAGCCCCCAAGCCTCAGGAGGCGCTCGGGGCGGGGGCTGGAGGGCCTCCGCAGACGCCCCTGAGGCCCGGGCACGGCCCGAGGAGCCGTCCCTCACTTGCCCGGGGTAGAGGCGGGGCGGGAATTGCACCCACCGTGTTGGGGTAGGGAATTTTTTGGCATCAGGTGAAGCCTGGACACCCTTATTCGGATAATGGGATTTCATTCCTTGCACACAGCGCATCTATTGCAGAGGAAACCCGTTAGACCAAGAGACAGTTATCAGTGTGTCCCAGCCTGCCTTCAGCCTAATAATCTAAGTGCTTGTATGGGGGCCGGCGACCGAGGTGACTCGCTTCGTGAGGGGTGGAAGTGGGGCTTAGCTATCTGGAGATGTCTCCAGCCTGTGATTTCTGCTGGTGGAAAAGCCACAGGTCTGGCCAGTACTGGCGCAGTTCGTTGTCTGCAGAACAAAAGGCTAGTTTTCAGTAAGAGGTTGGTGAGGACAGTTTTTTTCTTTGCCATGTAAGTTCTCAGCCCCCTTGAATTCTCCAGGGATGCCTGCTTGTTATTCTTAGTTGCCACAGAGTTGATTCTGACTCATGGGCACCTGGTGTGTTCAGCTCTAATGAACTGCTCTTCACAGAGTTTTCAAAACGGACCTTTCGGAAGCAGCTCACCAGGCTTGTCGTCTGAGTTGCTTCTGGCTGGGTTTGAACCACTAACCTTGTGGTTAGCAGTTCAGCACTTTGTGGTTTGCACCATGCAGGAATTCTGGCCTGTGGTTAAGGATTCCTCACATAGACGTGTCATGCAGTCCTCTCATAGTTAAAGGACATTTGCTGGGCTGTGAGCTTATCCAAAGTCCTAACTGTTCGGGTGGGGAAACAGGTTCAGAGAGGGGCAGCTCACATTGGTGTCAGGGGCTGGGCAGTTGGCAGCATTTTTCAAGCCAGCCTCCCTCCATGCTCAACAGGAAGACCTATAGGTGATGTGGGCTGTATTCTTCAGAGAGTTGGGAGGCTGGCCAGGGCAGCAGAACATAGCAAGCGTCAGACAAGGTCAAGGTCAGGCTTAGTAGACAGCCTCTCAGAGCTTGAGGAGTTTGTAGGAGGGGGAAGGCTGTGTGGACCGAGGCAGGCAGGGCAGTTGACCCCAGCTCTGGACCGTCAAGGCTGCCTTGGTCTCTCCCTCAGCCCCACCTCCCCATCATCTGGACCATGGCCTTTCTGGCCTGTCCCTAGTCCCCCAGGGTGTCTTATGTCCCCATCCTTCTCCCGTGGTACTCTCTGCCCTGTACACCCTGTCCTGAGCCCTAACTCTTGTTTCAGGCCCCACTTCCAGGAAGGTTCTGCAAACAGGCCTCTCCTGGAAGCTTCCTTTGGAGCTTGGTCCAGTCTGCTGGTAGGGTGACATGGACATTACCTTCTCTGCCTGTGAGGTTGCCATGTCTGGGACCCAGTGAGCCCCCAGCCCGGGGCCTGGCAGGCTGCTGGTGATGGTAGTGAGTTTGTGTGCCCAGCAGGTGCTCGTCCGGCCCGCGTGCGTCAAACACAGCCAGGGCCGAGGCCCACAGCCAAGGCACTCAGGGAGTCAGGCCTCCGTAAGTCAACTGAAATGGGGCAGATGGAACGACGGGTACGTGAACTGAAGCTTGACCCATGAGAAGTGGCCGGCTGTGTCTAGGGGAGGCAGGGTGTCCAGGCAGTAGGAACACCATGTGCAAAGGCCCTGAGGCAGGAGGGGCAGACATTGATGTGGGTGCGGAAGGGAGCGGGGGGTACTATGGCTCTTTAGGGACCGTGGAGAACACTCAGGCCATGTCCTAATAGACCCCTAACTTTCACTTAAATCACAACTTAAAAAAAAAGCCCTTGCTAGGAGTTTAGGCAACCTGTAGAGTTAGAGCAGACCCAGTCTGACACCAGTGGCAAGTCTGGGCCCCTAAAACAACCATCAGGTTCAGGAATTCTCTAGAAGGGTCACAGAACTCCCTGAGAGCTGTTGCACTCTTGGCTGTGGTTCATTCCAGGGGAGCAACACTGTCAGAATCTGCCCTGGGTACCGTCAGTGCTGTCTGTGAGGGGTCCAAACTCAGAGACTTTGGTGTCCTTTCCCACAGGGCAGGACAAGTCACCCTTCTGACACTGACATGCGAGCACATGCACGAGTCCTGCCAGCAGGGGATTCCCCCATGCCTGGCACCCAGACTTCATTGCAGGGGTCCATCACATCGGACGATTGATTAATTGTCCACGTGGTTGATTTAATGCAGTGTGACCCAGACTCTCCCCCATGTCACACTGCTGGCCCACCCAGTGTGACACCAGACCCCAGCAGGTAGGCCTTTCCACCAGGCGGGGATCCGATCACCCTCCAATAGCTGACAACCCAGGCCCGGCCACTTTCTGGGTGAGGTTACATTCTTGGTTGCACACCCCTCATTTACCAAGCTGTTGTGACGTGGAACTTGAGGTTGGAACAGGGGTCTGAGTGAAGGCATGCCAGACGGGGCCTAGCGGGCACACACCAACAGGCCAGGCTCCTGAGCGTGGGACAGTAGGGGCAGATGTTTTGTGTTTGCTCCCCACCTGCATTGGGTGGCACAGAGGGTTAGTGTGGTCAGCTACTAACCTAAAGGCTAGGAGTTCAAACCCACCGAATAGTGCTGCAGAAGGAAGGCCTGGCAGTACGCTTTCATAAAGGCTGTAGCAAGATCTGGAACAAAAAGGAGTGAAGCAAATCAGAAATACGAAGAGAACAGTTAGTCCCGAGGACTCATGGACCACGTGAGCTTCGCTCTCCATGACCCTGACACCAAAAGAACTGGCGCTGTCTACTCCCACTGCCGGCCACTCTGAAAGGGATCACAGCGAGGGTGCGAGAAAAATGCAGAACAAAAAGGTCCTGAAGAAAAAGACCAGGCTTACTGGTCAGAGACTGTTGGAAGCCCCGAGCCTATGGCCCTTAGACACCTTTCAGGCCTGGAACTGAACTCACTCCGTGGCTCAACTGTCAGGCAAATGTCAAACAGGCATGTAAGGTGAACAGTAACACAGGGAGGGCACACTCTAGCACAGTCTATGTGGAGATCCCAAGGGCAGCACGTGTCCAGGGAGAGAGCTCAGACACAGGAAGGGACGGGGAGGAAGGACCAAGGGAGGCGGGAAACTCGGGGAGGGAGTGGGAAGCGCGCTGCTCCACTGCGGGAATCGCGATCGTGTCACAAACCAAAATGTTTACGGAGTGTTGGACGGAGAACCAGACTGCTGTCAGCTTCCACCCAGATCACCATGAAAAGACAAAAAATACAAGTGGGTAGAAATCAAAGGAAAAAGGTGGGTAGCAAGCAACTCTATAAAACAGTTGTGCTCTGTAACATACAGGGTTGCTGTGAGTCCACATTGACTCTGTGGTAACTGGTTTGTGTGTGTGTGTGTGTGCACGTGCGCATGTGTGTACCCTGCCGCGCAGGCTGCCCTCCACTCACTGTCTCCACGCTGCCCGGTTCTCTCCACAGCTCCTGGCCTGCTTCGTCTCCAGATCCTTGGACTGCGGTGAGTGCCCGGCCCCCAGTCACCACTGTCATGGTCATGTCCTGCTCACGGAGGGGGCTCAGGTGTCAGGGGGAGATTTACAGAACCTCAGAGCTGGGAGGGGTCCAAACCCCTGTGGCCCTGAGAGGAAGCCAGTGGCTCGGTCACACAGCGAGTTTGGGGAGAACGCAGGTAAACAGTCTGTTGCCAGCGGGCGATGTGTGAGACCTGTCGGGGTCACAATGTGTAGTGGCAGAGGGAGGCAGGCCCAGGATCAAACTTGTGTCTGCCTAGCCTGGCACCTCCTGAACTCACTCGTCACTGGGAAAGGATGGCGTGAGGGGCATGTACCCAGGTGGTGGCCGGGGGCTCAGGCAGGACAGGAAGGCAGATGGTTGCCCGTGCCACCTGGCACCCTGGGACCAGGGACACAGCAGCAAGGACGTGGAGGGAGAAGGGCTTCCCTAACGAGAGGGCATCTGGGGCCTTCTAAGAGGGAATGGATTTGGGGTGGCCTTTTTGATTGCTTTGATGTGGCCTTTCTTCCAGCTAGGAGCTCTGGTGGCACAGTGGTTAAGGTATTTCACTGTTAACGAAAAGGTCAGCCATTCAAACCCATGAGCCACTCTGCAGGAGAAAGGTGGGGCAGTCAGTCCACTTTGCTAAAGATTGACAGCCTTGGAAACACCATGGCCAGTTCTGCTCTGTCCTCTAGAGGTGCTGTGAGTTGGAAAAGACTCCATGGCAGTGGGTTTGTTTTTTGGGTTATTCTAGCTGTGAAGTACGTGTTGGTTGCAAAACTGGGAAACGCCTAAGATGAGAGGCAGGTGTTCCGTAGACCAGGGTCCGCACAGGGCCAGACAGCCTCTGCCACCACTCCTCGACTGCTGTCACTGTGGCCTGCAGGCGGCTGAGGGCCAGTGCAGGCACGGGCGGGGGCCGCGTGGCCCTGGTGTTCCGGTCCCTGCTCGAGAGCTGCCCAGGCCCACTCCCTGTGTGCACGGTACGTCAGGTTGTAGTAAATGTTGCGTCGCACTCAGCCCTGCATGGTTTACTGCATGGTTTACTATACAGACCCTCTGGGGGTCCACCCAGCGTAGTGTGCATTCCTGCCTCACACGGGTCGGTGCGAGTCCCCTCTGTGAACAGTCTCAGGACTGCCTCACAGCATTCTTGCGCCCTGGCCTGCCTGTCCCCAGGATGTGTGCCAGAAGCAGTAGGTTAAAATCAGCACAGGGATGGCCTGGTCCCTGGTGGCTCTGGCTGGGCGTGAGTGACAGGTGCGGTCCATATGGGGCACTGGCTGGTGGGGACGAGCAGGAGTCGGGTGTTATTACTGCAGGAGAAGGCTCAGCCGAGTAGGTTCTCCGGGCTGTGTGAGGACTTTGGGCTTGTCCCGCAGCCTCATGAGGCCCCACTGACGGGTTCTGTCTCCTTGCAGCTCCAGCCTGGGCACAGCTGTGCAGGGACAAGGCGTCCACCAGAGTGCAGCCGCTGGCCATCCAAGCAGGTAGGGGTTCCTTGCTGGGGAGGCCACCCCTGCCACCCCGAGGTCCTTGCCCTTGCCCTCCCAGGACGCTGCGGGTCCAAGCTCTGTGGCCCTCACCCACAGCCGGGACGGCCTTGCTGAAGAGCGTGAGCTCTGAGCCCCTGTTTGCAGATGGGGAGACCACACCTGGGAGGATGGGGCCTGGGAGGAGGCTGGGTTTACACCCATGTGTCTCACCCCTGATCCTAGCCAGGTGCTAGAGTCCCTCAAGTCCTGACCCATCCACCCAGTGTGAGACCAGGGCCACCTGGCTCTGTGCTCCCCAGGACAGTGCCTTCGGCCCCTGGCCCTGCCCCTGAGAAGCTGCTTGGGGCCAGGTGCCAAGGGTGGGAGGCGGGGTGGCAGCACACTTCCCTGACCAGCCAACACCTCCCCAGTGCCCAGCCCACTGTGCCTAAAGCCGGAGCCGTAGTCCCCAAGCCTGCCGCCCTTCCCAGCAGCCGAGGTGAATATGTGGTGGCCAAGCTGGACGACCTCATCAACTGGGCCCGCCGGGTAAGCCATCAACTACCACACCACCAGGCCTCCCTACCTCGCAGGCTTCCCAGTGCACAGCTGTGTATAAACGCACACATGCACACAGGGGGTCACTCACCATGTACATGCAGGCACACACATATACACACAAGTCACACATGCTCGCAGGTACCCATGCATGCACACATATGCACACACGCTGACACATGCACACAGGTACCCATACATGCACACGTGTTCAGATGTACCACATGTTCACTGAGTTGTGTGCGTGCACATACATGCATAGCATACAGTCATGTGCACAAAGGTACTCATAGGTGTGTGCACACACATATGCACACAAACCAAATTGTGTTACAGGTACCCATACATGCTCACATATGCACGTGCGTGCACACGGGTACGCATACGTGCACACATGTGTATATGCATGTGCACTCACGTGACACGGTGCTCATACACGTACACATGTGCACATGCACCCCACACTCACTGAGCCGTGTCCTTTGGTGTTGTGTGCCCCTGCACTTGGGGTCCCATGAGGCCCTGTCCTTCCTGGGGCAGCGTGTTGCAGCCGAGCCCCTGACCAAGCCCAGCCCTTGTTGAGATGACCCGGCCCATCTCCGTAGTCCACTCTCTGGGCTTCTCCTCACGCCTCTTTTTTCTCTTTTAACATTGAGTAATATTTGTCAGTTAACAGAGTGACACGTGTTGACCAGGGAGACGTCTCAGTGGGACCCAGAAGCTGTTCCTAGCCCTCTGAGTGGTCCAGGCCCCTTTCGCATGTTGTCTGTCTCCCGTAAAGCATGATGTCAGTCTGTGTCGCCCACTTGATACACGTCTCAGTTCACTGGACTGCAGCTCCTTTCAGTGCCCACGTGGTACCACTCCAACGGCAGAGTGCCACGGTCCCTCACAGATGGGCCTGGGCACATTTCTGTCTTTTGTGGGTTTTCTGTACCAAGCAGAACATCCCACAAGGTTGTTCCTAAGACTGAGAAGGCAGGAACTGCCTCAGTGTCTGCCCAGCCTCAGGCAGTAGTCGGGGGGCACCTCCGGCCACAGCTGTTTACTAGCCCATCCCCGTCGTGTGCTGTCACCGTTGTCCCCCTCGTTCACACGTCACCTGGCTGTGGGGGTGACATAGCTCAGAAGCTGACCTCCACAGCTCAGACCCAGACACGGGATCAGGGAAGTTCTCAAGAGAGAGAGAGAGAGCTGTGAAGGATGGGCCACCAGCAGACGGAGGAGACAATGGGAGGTACCTGCAGGAGCCCAGGAGGGCTCCTGAAGTCATCACCATGTGGGCTGGCCCAGGAGGTGTCTGGGAACTCCTGTGAGAAAGCGCTTTGGGAACAAGACCAGTGGATCCCCCGGGTCTAGTTCACAGGCAGGTGTTGGCTCAGCAGGTCAGGGTGGGACCTGGGTGACAAGTTCTGACACCCTGCCACCTTGAGTGGCAAGGTCTCTACCTGCACCATCCAGAAAGGGGGCTGCCAAGTGTGGCAGTGTGCTGACGTGAGAGTGCGTAGGGTGTGAGACTGCTGTGAAAGGCCTCTGTGGAGTGCTGAAGAGCAGAGATACCACTCTGAAGACTGAGGGGCAGGTGACCCCAGCCATGGTATTGTCAATCACCTCGTATGCATGTGAGAGCTGGGCAGTGAATAAGGCGGACCAAAGAAGCGTTGATGCTTTTGAGCTGTGCTGGTGAAGAATGCTGAAAGTACTACAGACCGCCAGGAGAACGAACAAATCTGTCCTGGAGGAAGTACACCCAGAATGCTCCTTGGGAGAGAGAATGGCCAGACTTCGTCTCACCTCCTTTGGTCATGTTGTCAGTTCCCTGGAGAAGGATGTCATGCTTGGTAGGGTGGAGGGTCAGTGAAGGAGGGGAAGGCCCTCAACAAGGTGGACTCACACAGTGGCTGCAGCGATGGGCTCAGGTACAGCAGGGATCGTGAGGCTGGCGCAGGACTGGGCGGGGTTTGTTCTACTGTGCACTGGGTTGCTGTGAGTCGGGGCCAACTCAACAGCACCTAACAACAGTGTGTAGGACGTGCTGGGTGAAGTGAGCTGTGTTCTTGAGTGTCTTAGCGCTATGGGGACCCTGTTGCCACGTGGGGGCTTTCAGGACAGACGTCATTTTCTCACACCTCAGGTGGCTGGAGTGAGCATCCAGGGTTGGGCTCTCGGGGAAGCTCGAGCTCTGGGCCCGACAGTCCTCTGCACACTGGCTCTCCTTGGGCCCTCGGGGACCCCACGTGGCATCTGTCTTCCTCAGGGACCGTGTGTGGTGTCCCCACGTGGCATCGGTCTTTCCTCAGGGACCGTGTGTGGTGCCTGTCTTCCCTCCACCACGGCTTGCTCGCATCTGTCACTAGTCTGACCAGACCTCAGAAGAGCCTTGGGGACGTGACAGTTAAGCATTCGGCTGCTGACCAAAAGGTCAGCAGTCTGAACCCACCCAGTGGCCCTTTGGGGAAAAGGCCTAGCTGCATGCTCTCGGGAAATATGACAGCCTAGCACACTCTAGGGGTACTGCACTCTGTCACACGGGGACACTGTGAGTCAGGGTCCACTCGACAGCCCCGACACCAAACAGCTGCATGTCTCAAGCATTTTTTTTTTTTTTTAATTGTTATTTGGGTGAAAGTTTACAGAGCGATTTCATTTTCCATACAATAGTTTATACACATTTTGTCTCATAACATTGACTGCAATTCCCCACAATGCAACAGCTCCCCTTCCTTTTCCTCCCCATAGTCACCTCTTCCCTGTGTCCATCCCTTCATACCCCGAGCTATCTCCCTGTGCATACACTGCCCTTCTGTTCTCCCGTGATTGATCTCTCCAAGTAGAGGATCTACCTAATGTAAATCTTTTTTTTATGCCGATCTTTTGTTTGGCTGGAAGCCACAGGAGTGGGTTCAATTCCAGACCTGAAGGGCCGCTAGGGGCATTGGTTTCAGGAATTCCACCAGGCTCTATCAGACCAGGAAGGCTGGTCTTTTTTTTTTTTTTTAATAATTTTGAGTTTTTTTCCACATTGTCCTCCCACTCTGTGGTGTAGTAAATTATTTAGTGTGGCTTTTCTACCCATGAGTCTTTGTAAACTCCAAGGTGGGATTTTCTATGAGCAACTGAGGAGCTCCTGATTGCTGAAGTTGTCCACCTGGAGTATTTCTGTTGGGAGTGGCACAAAACAGTGTTCTGGGAGGTGCCCACTCTCTCTCAGGTGCTTAGAGTTCTGATGCTATGATTGGCTAGTTTGGCCACCCTGCCGGGCTAAAAAGGAGGTCTCCTGGAGGCAGAACTCTCTCTGTCACTGCTGGTTGAGGAAGACGTGCTGCTGAAAGAGACACGGGCTCCTGAGACACACGTTGCTGGGAAAGAGACCCAAGAGAGACGCATTGCTGAGTGAGACACCGAGGGACCAGCACTGCTGGGAAAGAGACTGCAAGAGACTCTTGGCTGAGGGACGGTGGGCTGGGAGAGAGACTGAGCGTTCTTCCTGAACTTGAGTTGTAGCCTGGTGCTTCCCTAATAAACCCTGTAATCCGTGAGTTCTGTGTGGCCACTGCAGCAAATTATCGAACCCAGGAGAGAGGTGGTGGGTGCTTTGGGAGGAATGGTTGGTGAAAGGGCTGGAGGGAGGCAGCATGTTTGCCCTTGCAGTAATAGGCCTAGGGTTACTGCTGTCTTCCTCTTGTGAGATTAGAGGAGGTCAGAACATGTGGCCTCCCTGCCGTTTTTACAGTTGGTGTCAGTTGATGTCAGTTGCTAGCACACTCTATCCAGAATTTCCTACACAGGTCCCCCTCCGAGTGGTTGACAGTGGTAGCTGGACACCATCTAGTTCTTCTTGTCTCGTGGTCATATTATAGGCTGAGGATCGCATGGTGTACCAGTCCCTTGGACTAATTGTATCCATGCGTCTTTGGTTTTTTTCATTCTTCTTTGCTCTGAATGAGGAGAGATCCATCGTTGCATCTAGCTGGCCGTGTGCAAGCTTTTAAGATCCCAGTCACTATATACCAAAGTAGGATGTGGAACAGTGTTTTTGTGTAGTATGTTATTTGAGCTTGATGTCCCCTGGGACCATGGTCCCGAGCCCACAGGTCAAACTAGTTGCTCCCTCTGGGTAGCTGGCTGTGGCCAAGAAGTGACAACAACCTTCTCCCTTGTCAGCTCTACTATATACCTGGGAATTCTTAACAGAACATACAAATAAACTTGTAGAAACATCATCTGCCAAGCCTATACATGATCATGGGCGCAAGAGTGATTAAGTTTAAGACACCTCCCACTGATAGGGCCCCGATAACGTGACAAGGAGGGCACGCCCACAGGTCAGGGTACCAGCATGTACTCTCCAGACGCAGTTCCATCCCTGGCAGTGATTACAGGGAGTCTCACCGTTTTCTCCCAAGTCCCGCCTGGGGCTGCCAGCTCATGATTTTTCAAGAGTGGCCAGAGATCTAGAGTTTTCTACGTGCAATCTCTCTGTTGTTTGAATACTGTGGGCAGGCAGAGCCCTCCATGACTGCACTTGCCCCCTCCATCATGCCCCTGACCCAGTGTGACCCCATCTCCACCTCCCAGAGCTCCCTGTGGCCCATGACCTTTGGCCTGGCCTGCTGCGCCGTGGAGATGATGCACATGGCAGCACCCCGCTACGACATGGACCGCTTCGGCGTGGTCTTCCGTGCCAGCCCACGCCAGTCTGATGTGATGATTGTGGCTGGGACACTCACCAACAAGATGGCCCCTGCACTCCGAAAGGTAGGCCCCTCCCTGCTTCAGTGTCTAGCCTCCTCCCACCTGTCACCTGCCTGCCCAGTACCAAGGCCCCTGACCCCTGGCCACCTGGTGCCCAGCCCCCCGACCCCTGGCCACCCAGTGCCCAGCCCCCCGACCCCTGCCACTTGCCCGCTGGTGCTGGGCCCCCACTTCTGCCCTCTCTTCCAGGTGTACGACCAGATGCCAGAGCCCCGCTATGTGGTGTCCATGGGGAGGTGAGAGCAGGCTCTAGGGCCAGAGTGGAGGTGCTCTGTGGAGTGGGCTGGGGGGCCTCCTTCTAGTCTAATTCCTGCTAATCAAGCCCACTGAGGTTTAGACCAGTCAGCAGTGCTCACAGCGAAGGTTCAGGGCAGAGACCTGACAGACCCTCACACGCCTTTGGTAGCTCCTTCTCCATCAACCCCTGATACTCTCCTCCTGTCGGTTTTAAGTGCCCCTTCTCCGGGGACAGGTTCTCAAGACTTTGCACGTGCAAAAAGGACAGGGAGGTGACATCTTCTGACCTCCTCTAACTTCACAAGAGGAAGACAAGGCTGATTCCTACGAGGCCAGACACACCACCACCCTCCACCTTTCACCAGTTCTGACACCAGCCGTCCCTCCCCCGGCACTCACTCCTTCTCTGCTGGGTTCCCTAATTTGTTGCAGTGGTCACACAACTCACAGACGATAATTACGATTATGGGTTTATTAGGGAAGTAACAGGCTACAATTCAGGGTCAGCAACATGCGCAGGACACAATTCTTTGATCAGGACAGTCTCCCCTCTGCTGTGTCCTTAAACTTGCCTCTTTGGCCCTTGGCCTTTGGGCCTGGCCTCTGCCCTGCTCAGGCAAGTGTTTCAAAGCTCTCAGGTGCACTCCGCTCCACCAGTGCGGCTCTTGCCCAAGGGTACTCAGCTTCCTCACTGTGGGCCCGGTCAGCGGCTGCTCTGTCTCACGCCTCCTTGTTCCATGGCCGCTGTCTCTTTGCTGAGGCATCTCAGCCAAGAAGTTCTGGTGCAGGGATCTCGGGTCCAAGGACGTGCTGCACTTCACCACCAGCTCTTCTCTGCTGATGGCAGTGAGATCCCCTCTCTGCCTGTGGGAAGGCTCATTTTAAGCCTGGCAGAGTGACAAAACTAACCAATCCCAACATCAGAGTTCTGCCCGCCTTATTGCATGTCCCCACCTAGCAATCTGGTGGAGTTTCAAAGACTAGGCTGGAAAAGCCATACCAAGGGATGCACTGCACCACAGCGTGTTGCCAGTTGGAACAGAGCAGTGCTGACCCACATCCGGCTAAGAGATTCAGTCAGAAACACCGAGTGAGACCACCCACAGCAGAACACCCCCCATCAGCCGTTCCTCCATGTACAGCCCAGCCATGTCGACAACAGCGTGCACCACCTTCACCCTCCTCGTCCAAGCTGTCCTTCCCGTGAGCATGCGCTCCCTGCCCTGAGCTTCCTGTCTGACCTCCGAGTTGCTGTGGTCAGTTTGATCCCATAGAGAGAGTTCTTAACAGAGACCAGTGTCGCGAGTCTTTACTAGTGAGGCTCATGTTTGATTTTAAGAAGATTCCAGAGAATGTTTTTGGTTGAAGGTTTAATGATTAGCTGAGAGCAGCTGTTTTGGGGGTTCATCCATGGGGATTCCACTGGTCCCCGTTCTTATCCTCTGATGGCTGTGGTGGGAGGAGGCCCTGGGTCAGGGGCGAGGCCTCCAGGTGGGTCCTGGGGGGGTGGGGCACTGCCCTCAGCATTGCCTCCCGCTCCCACAGCTGTGCCAATGGTGGTGGCTACTACCACTACTCCTACTCTGTGGTGAGGGGCTGCGACCGCATCGTGCCGGTGGACATCTACGTCCCAGGTAGGCTGCCCTGCCGAGAGGGGGTGCCCCTGCAGGTGGGGAGCGGATTCAGGCCCTTCCTGGTCAGGTGTCTCCTCAGCAGGGAAGCGTGTGAGCCCACCCCGGGGGCAGGGCCAGCATCGGGAGTCTGGCCTGCAGAACTCCCAAGACCTGGCCGACTTCAGACCGGTTCCCACGGGTGCGCCTCAGAGGCCAAGCCTGAAAAATGACATCAAATCAAAGTGGTTCCAGAGGCCTCAGTTGTTGTCCTGAGTCCTTGAGCTCCAGAAGGGCCCGCTGGGGTGGCCAGACTCAGCAGGGGAAGGTGCAGGATTAACGTGATTAACAGCTTAACGTGATTGTCCGAGAAACAGGGTGTCACTCCTAGTGTGTCCCACGCAATCCCTGGGACACACCTGACTGAAAACACCTATCAGGGCTTTATCAGAAATTCACATTCAACTAGTGCCCACGCTCCAACACGTACGCTGAGACCCCCACTGTGTGCAGGGTTCTGAAAGCCTGGCCCCATTGTGACACTCACTCACCCCTACCTTCCCCTTCCCCTGGGCCCTGCTCCCCACTTGCATCCTGTATTCCTTACAATGGCCTCTCCCCTCCTGGGGAGCTCCCTGAGGGCCAGAACTGAGTCAGTGGGGGTCTCTGTCACAGTCCCAGTGTCCGCCCCTTGATGGTGATGAGGACGAGGGGCGGCCTGCAGGGAGGGGCTGGGGCCCAGGGGAGGACCCTGCTGTCTCTCCTGCCCCATACCGGGTGGCAAGGGGCTGGCGCTGGGCCCTGTGCCGACGACCCCGGGCACAGACTGAGTTGCGCCCCACAGGCTGCCCGCCCACGGCCGAGGCACTGCTCTACGGCATCCTGCAGCTACAGAGGAAGATCAAGCGAGAGAAGAAGCTCAAGATCTGGTACCGCAGGTAGTGCTGCCGTCAGGGTGGCCACGCCACCCCCAAGATTGTCAATAAACCCGACTTGCCAGCCGCCTGCCCGCATGGTGTGTGCGTGCCAAGGGGCTCACAGAGGCCCAGCGGACCCCTGAGGGGGAGTCAGGGTGCATCAGCTCCAGAGTTGAGAGGATGGCCCCAAACCCTGTCCCACTGCACCTGAACAGCCTAAAGTCTGTGGGCAGGGCTGCCTGGGTCCTAGATAGGGTCTGTCATCTGCTTTATGAAGTCACTGCTTCTGGGAGTTACGAGAGCCTGTGGCCACTGGGTAGAGGGACAAGAAGTTGAGTCCCTTGTGTTCACACTTCTGGGCACGAAGGGTGCCCCTCTAGCTGTACCCCCCCACAGGACACAGATAGGCAGACCGTGTTGAGGGAGGGGCTGCCTCATCCCCTTCAAAGCAAAATGGTTCTGGGGCAGGAACTGGAGAGACACCAACCTGTGTCCTCACCACTGTCCCCAAGGCCTGGGTGGGGGTAGGGGGGCAGGCCCAGGGGCTCCTAGCTGCCCAGAAAAGACTTTTGGGGATCCTCTCCACCCCAGCTTTGGGGACCCACCCTGCCTCCTCCCAGCTCTGCCCTTCTCACATCACTGCACCCTCTGAGGTCTGTCCTTGACCCAGACATACATTCATTCGACAAACCAGGGACTGGCCAGCCACTGCCAGCGTTGAGGATGAGGGCCACCCTCAGCTATGGCAGGTCAGGCTGGGACAGGCATGAGTGGGCAGCAGGGGCTCAGGTGGGAGGGCAAGTGTACAGGCAGAGACTGGGCAGATGAGCCCTGAGGGCTGGGTGCCCAGGCAGGGGCAGTCAGTGGGGACGGTAGAGGAGCGAGACACACTCATCAGGGTAGTGTTGGCTGCAGGGTGACCAGCTGGGTGTGAGGACACAGAACAGAGCCACGGTGGACCTGGGTGGGGGGCTGCTCTGCAGCTAGGGGCCGCTAAGTCTGATGTCAGGGAGAAGGGTCACAGGACATTTGAAAACATGCACAAGGCAGATGAGGCTCCGCCCCATAGTCTGGGAGTGCACAGGTGGGACCGGGGGCACAGCCCATGGACTCACACTGGAGGTGGGCTGAGGGTCTTTGTGGACCCTGGCCAGCCAGGGAGGGAGACATTGCCCTAGCTGAGTGGGGAGACCCATGGATCTGGGTCTTGGTTCTGCCACCTCAGGAACCCCCTCTCTGAACCCCAGCTGCACACAGGATGGAGAGCAAGTAGTTTTCATTTCCTGACTGATCAGCTGTTTCTCATCCACTGGTTGTGTCTGCCAGGGGTGGGGCCATCGGTAGTTGACTAGCCATGTCTGCCACAGACACCCAAAAGCAGGATCAGCCATTGACTGGTCTGGGAGCACCAGTAATTTTTTTTTTTTTTGAGTGGATGTAGGATTAACTAAGAGCACATGTTTGCACAGTACTAACTGACCAAGCCCACTGTTTTATTTCAACCTCAACAACCCTGAGAAGGGGGGCAGTAGTGTTCTCCTTCAGGAGATGGGACAAGGAGGGTTAGGAAAAGTCACCTGATGGCACAGCTAGTGAGGGCACAGGAGCTCTGGTAGCATAGTGCCTAAGGCACCTGACTGCTCACCAGAAGGCTGGCGGTTCAAACCCACCAGCCACTCCTCGGAAGGAAGGTTGGGCAATCTACTTCCGTAGTGATACTGCCTCGGAAACCCAAGGAGGGGTCGCTATGAGTCGGGTCCAACTTGACGGCACATAACAACAACAGTGGCGGCACAGCCAGGGCGCTAGCCCTAGCTGGCAGCCAGCCTGTGTGCTGGCCACAGAGGCACTGGGTGGGGAGCTCTGGGAGGTGCCAGAGGCCAGGAGACGAGGGTGGCTCAGTGCCTGGTCACCATGGGGGTGATCATCTGCGGGAAGGCGTAGTAGCGGCAGTCGGTAGGCGGAATCAGCTCCATCACCTCCGTGCTTATGTTCTCCCGCCGGAAGCCTGCCTCCATCAGCGCAGGCACCTGCGTCTCCTGGCAGGGCAAACGGGAGAAGGTACCAGGTCGCCTGCGAGATCATGTTCCCACCACCCCCTCAGGCACCTATCCCTCCTCCAGCAGGATTACAAGTGCCCAGGCCCCCAGGCGCTTGTAGGCAGGTGAGGAGTGGCAGGCTGGGCGGCTGGGGAATGGGACTGGTCCCAGGCTCCCAGCTGTTTAAAGGTGGGCAGCACGTCCTCACTGGCCCGCTCCAGCCTCCCCCTCGCCTGGACCATGCTCCCGGTGAAGTGAGCCGAGGGAAGGACCCACGGTGGGGCCTGAGCTGCTGGTGGCACCTGCACAGACACAGCCTGGCTGGCCACTGACACCTGGCTGGTTCTCAGGAGACATCTTGGGCTCAGGCTCTCGCTCTGCAAGGCTATGCCCTGCCACTGCCTTTCTGGGCAGAGGGCTGTGTGGCTGTGAGAAGCACAGGTAAACGCATAAAGGTGTCACCTGGGCAGAGCACAGGGAACGTGAGCCAGGGGAGCCACCGAAAGTGACTGAGTGAGGCAGGACCCTCGCCCGATTTCTGCATGGAGGCTCACAGCAGGGTCCAGGCCCACCTGCACTGGCTTGACTAGTGCCCCCCCAGATTCATGTCTTCCCAGCACCTCAGTACATGACCTTACTTGGAAGTAGCGTCTTTGCAGGTAACAGAAAATCACACTGGAGCAGGGTGAGCCGTAAACCAAGTGACTGGGGGCCTTATAACAACAAAACAACCCACTGCCATGGAGTGGATTCCGACCCACAGCGCCCCAAGAGGACAGAGTGGAACTGCCCCAGGGGGTCTCCAAGGCTGTCAGTCTTCACAAGGAAGGAGCTCTGGTGGTGCAGTGCCTAAGGTATTAGACTGCTAACCAGAAGGTTGGTGGTTCTAGCACAACAGCTGGTCTATGGAAGGAAGATGGGGCAGACTACTTCTTAAAAGATGTACTGCCTTGGAAAACCAAGGGGGGTCGCTATGAGTTGGAAGTGACTTGATAGTAGAGGGGTTGGTTTTGGTTTAATCTTTACAGAAGCAAAGGACCAGACCCCCTGCTGCCCAGTTGATTCCGACTCACAGTGCCCCTAGATGACAGAGCAGAACTGCCCCACAGGGTTCCCGAAGCCGAATGCTTAACCAGTGCACCACCTCTGTGTCCTCATAAGAAAGACGTGTGGACACAGAGGGAAGACAACAGTGTGAGGACCACAGTGATGCCACCACACACCCAGGAACAGCTGTGGCCACAGAAACTGGGCGAGACCAGGAAGGCCTCTGCTGACACCCTGAATCCGACTTCTGGTCTCAGACTGAGCGCCACTCTCCCTTGTTTTAAGGGGCCGTTTGTGCACCTTTGTTCTGGAAATCCCAGCACTCAGACTCTCAAGAACTCAATCCCCAGGGTCTGGGGGAGGGGAGCCGCCACCTCCTGGCCCAGGGTCCCTGCCAGCTGAGGGTGGGGGCTGGGGGCCAATAGCGGGGGCGCCCTGGGCACTGCACCTCGAACATGACGGTGATGTCAGAGTACTTGGCCTTCATCAGCTCCCCCCAGGATGTGAGGTTGCAGTAGGTGAGGACACCCCCTGGCTTCAGCAGGCGAAAGGCATGGCCCTGGGGACGACAGTGGGGTCAGGGGGCCAGGGGTGCCAGCAGACAGGCCACCTAGCACCGCCCCATGTCCCCATAGCTCACAAACAGGTCAGGCATCCAGTGTGGGCCCACTACCCAACCCCGCCCCCCCACCCCCTGACGGTTCCCAGGACAGCAGGGCCTCGCACCATCCCCACCCAGTCCCACCTTAATGAAGTTGAACTGGTGAGTGTGCCACGTGTCCTCAGACAGCGGGTACGTGTCATACAGGATCCCTGTGTGGAGGACAGATGCTCACCAGTCATGGCCAACTCCAGATGCCGGGTGAGCTATGTGGCAGGGGCTGCCGCAGAGGCGGGATTCAAACGGGGGTCTGAGACCCCAGGGCCGCACTCTGGGCCACTGCATGCCTCCTCCTTGAATTGTGTCCGACACAGTCACTCGATAGGGTGTTAATTATGCTCCTACTGTGTACCCAGCACACCATGTATGCCCATGAATACCCTCAACTCCTGCCCCAGGTCCTGTGACTACAAGGGTCACATCACAGAAATTGGTCTCTAGAAAGTCCTTCCACAAGCAGAGGGGCAGCCAATGGTGGGAAGTCAAGCAGAGGCAGTTGCTGGGGGTAGGGCAGCCCAGCGTGCTCTAGCAACAAGTCTCCCCTCCATTGTCCAGAGCCCCTCACCATCAAAGTGACCATCTGGCAGAGTGGGTGCCACGTCCTCCCACAGGCCTTTCAAGGGGATGACCTTGGGCAGAGAAGAAAAGAAGACCAAGGGTCAGAGTGGTCACCAGGATCTCCCTGCCACCGCCTGCTCAAAGGGAGGAAGGGAGACCACCTCCCACATGTCTGCTGGGGCAAAGCCTCCATGGGGGTGCTGCAGGAAGGCACGGGCACCTTGTGGGGCTGCCGCAGGGCCCAGTTCTGGAGCCGCTGGAAGACGCCGTCGTTGCATTCGATGATCCAGTGCTCGTCGATGGGCGCCTCTTGGATTCTGGAGGCGGCGATGGCCATGCCGAAGCCCACCTCCAGGACCCGGCCGCCTGCGCACAAGGGGGGGTAAAGGCAGCTGCGTGGGGAGGCTGCCTGGAGGAGGAGGAGCCATAGGGGGCGAGGCCCTGGCACTGAGTTCTGGCCACATGAGCCAAGGGCACAGCGGAGGCAGTGGCCAGAACACAAGGTTTCTAGAAAGTACAGCGCAGGCCTTGGCCAGAAGCCAGGGCTGGCCAAGGAGGCTGAGTGACTGTGGTCTTCAGGCCCAGTCCAAGGGGGAGGTCAGACCCTTGGACTTTGAGCCGCAGCCCACGCTGTTTGAGCTGGGCCGCTTATCTCCTGTTTTGGTTACTTTTCTCTCCAAACAGAGTGCGACCTGAGTTGGAGACCTCGTGACCTGGAACAGGCTGGGGGTGGGGAGGGTCCACATTAGACCTCGACGAGAGGCTGAAAGAGATACCCTAACCACGCAGTCACCTTTCCACCAACACTTTGAGCAGGGGACCCTGGATGTGCCCCTCTGCCACTGAGATACTGAGAATCGCCGCCCAGAGGCTGCACCTTGAGGAGAGGGGTTCATGGCGAAGCCAGGGAGCGCCAGCAGCCTTGAGCGCCACTGGGAAACCCAGCTGGCTAGTGGCTACACGCGGGCGGCCCCACCCGCAGCTGTCTCCCAGCTCTCGGCTTTCCTCGGGCTATTCTTAGGCGGGGGAGGGGGTGGGGCTGCCCCAGTGTGGGGCCACAGAGTGCTGCCACATTCCCCACTGAGCCTGGGCAGGGTCCCCGCGTCTGCGGACCCATCCCCTGCCCCAGAGAGGAAGTCCCCGAGACTTAGGGGATGCCCACAAGCCTGTGCTGGCAGGACCCCCATTCAACTCCCTCCGCCTCGACTAGCAGCCCCACTTTTCAGGCGGGCAAACGGAGGCACTGAGAGGCGCTGGCAACGATCAGCCTCAGGTTACCGCAGGCTACCTCTGGAGGTGGCGGCAGCTGCCAGGGCGTGCATGTACGGCGTCTCCCAGCGCTCCATCACCGGCTTGCCCAGGATCTGCAGGTGCGTGTCCGTCGCGTCGTAGGCCGCGGGCGCCGCGCCCCACGCGGGGCTGCAGTTCTCGCCGGGCGCGAAGATTGGGGCGGCAGAAGGGGCGCTCATGGTGCAGCTGGTTGGCGGGCGCGCCCGGACCTCCACGTCCTGGGTTTGCTCTGCGCGCGGCGAGGCCTGCGGGGCCTTTGGGGCGGTGGGCGGGGCCCTCGGGTCAGGCAGTGGGCGGGGTTTGAGGCGGGCGGGGCCGAGGCGGAAACTCCTCTGGCGTAAGCGGGGGGAGCGCGGGGGCGCGGGAAGACGCGGTCTTCGCTGTGTGGGCGGGCCGACTTTGTCCCTCGCTGGGCTCCAACTCACCCCAGCCCCTTCTTTTTTGTGTGCAAGGATCCGAGGCACTCAGAGGAGCCCGACTCGTGAGTGAGCCCGTGCAATGACCGGACGCTCAGTGGCCGACTCTGCGGAAGATCAGATCCTAGGGCCTTTTTCCAAGGCGGTTCATGACGGCCACCGCTCCTGCGTCAGTGTGTCCTACGGTGGTGCCTTGCGTGTTGCTGTGAGGCTGGAAGCTATGCCACCGGTATTTCATAGACCAGCAGGGTGGACAGCACTCAGTAGAGCGTGCTAAGACAGACTGGGGAGAACCGGGCCAGTGAAAACTCTGGATAGCAGTGGAGCGTTGTCTGATATGGAGCTGGAAGGTGAGCCCCTCACTTTGAAAGGCACTCCAATACGACTCGGGAAAAGCGGCCTCCTCAGAACAGAGTGGTCGTCCAGGGTGGTCCCCGCTGCACTGCATCCTCACAGGAGGTTGTCCCCACCGCGTGATCCTCCTGTGAGGTCATCCTGAGTGGCAACCCCCACCTCCACTTTGTAGGCCTACGCCTTCCAGTGTAAACAGACAACACTCACTACAGTCACTGAATTCAAGGGATGTCCCTGAAACCCCCTCCTGAGACAGGAGATGACTAGTTACCATCCAGTTGACCCCAACTTTTGGCAACTTCAAGTGTGTCAGAGCAGAACTGGGCTTCACAGGGTTTTCTTATTTTTCAGGAAGAAGTATCCTATTTTTATTTAGTTTGGTCATTCCCTTATAGTGTTTGTGTATGGGTTGGGGTTGGTATGTGGCATGGAGTTGGACCCGACTCATAGTGACCCCTCCCTCCTTGGATTTCTGAGACAGTGTCACTATGGAAGTAGATTGCCCAGTCTTCCTTCCGAGGAGTGGCTGGTGGCTTTGAACCACCAGCCTTCTGATTAACAGTCGAATGCCTTAGGCATTATGCCACCAGAGCTCCTGTGTTTCTGTATATATATTTAAAAAAAAAAAGAAAAGAAAAGAAAACTCACTGCTGTCGAGTAGAATCCGACTCATAGTGACCCCTCCCTCCTTGGGTTTCTGAGGCCCTATCACTATGGAAGCAGATTGCCCAATCTTCCTTCCGAGGAGTGGCTGGTGGCTTTGAACTGCCAGCCTTCTGGTTAGCAGTCAAGTGCCTTAGGCACTATGCCACCCGAGCTCCTATCGTATGTATCCACTCATAGGTTATTGTTGCTGTTGTTAGGTGCCATTGAGTCAGCTCCGACTCACAGCAACCCCGTGTACAACAGAACGAAACCCTGCCCGGCCTGTGCCAGCCTCACGATCCTTGCTATACCTCAGCCCATCATGGCAGCCACTGTGTCAGTCCATCTCGTTGAGGGTCTTCAGACCTTCTGACATGACCAAAGAAGGTGAGATGAAGTCTGGCCATTCTCCTTTGTAAGGAGCATTCTGGCTGCACTTCTTCCAGGACACATTTGTTCATTCTTCTGGCAGTCCATGGTACTTTCAGCATTCTTTGCCAGCACCTCAACTCAAAAGCATTGACTCTTCTTCAGTCTTCCTTATTCATTGTTCAGCTTTCACATGCGTATGAGGCGATTGGAAATACTACAGCTTGGTCTTCAAAGAGACATCTTTGTTCTTCAGCACTTCAAAGAGATCTTTTGCAGCCGATTTGCCCAGTGCAATGACATCTGCTTTCTTGACTGCTGCTTCCATTGGTGTTGATTGTGGATCCAAGTAATATGAAATCTTTGACAACTTCAATCTTTTCTCCATTTATCATGAGGCTGTTTATTGGTCCAGTTGTGAAAATTTTTGTTTTCTTTATGTTGAGGTGTAATCCATCCTGCAGACTGCAGTCTTCAATTTCATCGCTAAGCGCTTTAACTCATCTTCCCTTTCAGTAAATAAGGTTGTGTCACCTGCATACTGCAGGTTGTTAATGAGTTTTCCTCTAATCCTGATGCCATATTCTTCACACAGTCTAGCTTCTCGGATTATTTGCTCAGCGTACAGATTGAATAAGTATGGTGAAAGGATACAACCCTGACACACTCCCTTCCTTATTTTAAACTATGCAATATCCTCTTGTTGTGTTTGAATGACAGCCCCCTGGTCTATGTACAGGTTCCTCATGAGCACAATTAAGTGTTCTGGAATTCCCATTCTTCTCAATGTTATCCATAATTTGTTATGATCCACACAATCAAATGCCTTTGCATAGTCAATAAAACAAGTAAAATATGAATCTCTTCCAGTCAGTTGGCCAGGTAGCTGTCTTCCAAATCTCTTGGCATAGCCGAGTGAGTGCCTCCAGCGTGTTATCCATTTGTTGAAACATCTCAATGGGTATTCCATCAATTCCTGGAGCCTTGCTTTTCGCCAATTCTTTCAATGAAGCTTTGGCTTTTCTTTTCAGTACCACTGGTTCTTGATCATATGCCACCTCCTGAAATAGACAAACATCAACAAGTTATTTTTTGTACAGTGACTCTGTGTACTCCTTCCATCTTCTTTTGATGCTTCTTCCTGCGGCATTCACTATTTTGCCCATAGACTCTTTCAATATTGCAACGCGAGGCTTGAATTTTTTCTTCAATTCTTTTAGCTTGAGAATATCCCACCTGAATTTAGAGACCACCCTTTTGGTTTTCTAACTCTAAGTCTTGGCACATTTCATTATAATTGACTCTGTCTTCTCCAGCTGCTCTTTGAAATCGTCTGTTCAGCTCTTTTATCTTGTCATCTCTTCCATCTGCTTTAGCTACTCTCTGCTCAAGAGCAAGTTTCAGAGTCTCTTCTGACATTCATTTTGGTCTTTCCTTTCTCTCCTGTCATTTAATGACCTTTTGCTTTCTTCATGGATGATGTTCTTGATGTCATCCCACAACTCATCTGGTTTTCGGTCACTGATGTTCAACTCATCGAATTTATTCTTCAGATGGTCTCTAAATTCAGGAGGGATATAATAAAGGTCATATTTTGGCTTTCATGGACTTGTTTTCATTGTCTTCAGCTTCATCTTGAACTTGCAAAAGAGCAGTGGATGGTCTGTTCCACGGTCAGCTCCTGGCCTTGTTTTGGCTGAAGATATTGAGCTTCTCCATCGCCTCTTGCCACAGATGTAGTCAGTCTGATTCCTGTGCACTCCATCTAGTGAAATCCATGTGTATAGCCGCTGTTTGTGTTGCTGAAAAAAAGATATTTGCAGTGAATAAGTTATTGGTCTTGCAAAATTCTGTCATGCAATCTGTGCATCATTTCTATCGCCAAGGCCATATTTTCCAACTACTGATGATTCTTTTTTGTTTCCAGGTTTTGCATTCCAGTCGCCAATACTCATCAATACATTTAATTGCATGTTTGGTCAATTTCAGACTGGAGAAGTTGGTAGAAATCTTTAATTTCTTCATCTTTGGTTAGTGCATAAGTTTGAATAATACTAGTATTAACTGGTCTTCCTTATAGGCATATGGACATTATCCTATCACTGACAGCACTGCACTTCAGGACAGATCTTGAAACATTTGTAACAATACATGGCATGCCATTCCTCTTCAGTTTGTCATTCCCAGCACAGTAGATCATATGGTTGTCTGATTCAAATTGGCCAAAACCAGTCCATTCAGCTCACTAATGCCTAGGATATCAATCTTTATGTGTTCCATCTACTTTTTGACAACTTCCAATTTTCCTAGATTCATTCTTTATACATTCCACGTTCTGATTATTGATGGATGTTTGCAGCTGTTTCTTCCCATTTTGAGTTATGCCCCTTCAGCAAATGGAGGTCCTGAAAACTTACTCCACCCACATCACTAAGGTCGGCTCTACTCTGAGGAGGCAGCTCTTCCCACTCGTATCCGAGTGGCTTCTGACTTGAGGGGCTCATCTCCCGGCACCGTATCGGATAGTGTTTGTGGGCTGTTCATAAAGTTTCCCAGGAATGTATCAGACAGTGTTTCACTGCTGTTCACAAGGTTTTCACCGGCCAAGACTTTGAGAAGTGAATGGCCCCTTCTTTCTTCTGAGTCTGTCCTAGTCTGGAATCTCTGCTGAAACCCGTCCACCAGGGCTGACCCTGCTGGTGTTTGAAATGCCGGTGCCATAGCCTCCAGCCTCCCAGCAACACGCAGACCACCCCAGTACGACACACGGACAGATGAGTGGTGGACTCATCGGTGAATGTTCGTTACTGCTGACAACGCAGTTTTCTGGGTGTAAAAGTGTTTGTCTTTGTTGTCTCTGCCTCTTGAGCACCTCTTTGTGTCTTTTCCTTAGTGTCATTGTGCTGGTCACCCACTTCTGGTATGTTGCTTTTCCCTGACCCTAAATCAATATGTCTCTCTCTCTTTTTTAAAAAAATTATTTATTTTTTAATTGTGATTTGGATGAAGATTTACAGAGCAAATTCACTTTCCATACAGCAGTTCACATATACTTTGTCTCATGACATTGACCA